CTCGTGCCCTACACTGGTCTCGCCTCTGTGTTGGTCCGGCACAACTGCCGCATGGCACATCGTAGAAGCTTTTTAAAACACTATTGACGTACACACTTGAAGACGTTTTCGAAATGTCTCTAGTAGTAATCGAGAACGGTGACTTCAAGGAAGTTCACTTGAGGTAAGTAGAAATGTGTGTAACTCTTTTTCACTAGTAATTTATTGTCACAGATCAAGAAGCACTTTGATCTACTGCTCTTTTAGTTACAAATATATGCTAAAGTATGCCGTTGTTTCGAAAATTGAAAACTATTAGCTGTTTTCAAAAATGAATTACTGGGAACTTTCAGTCATTCAGGACTTCACTGTATTAACTTTAAATATACTTAGCCATCTGTTCTTTTCGTGCGAAAGAAGCTACTTATTCCATACATATTTATTGTGAAGACGAATCAGACGCTTTTAGTGGATGTCCGTTCTATCTACTTTAGATGGCTTATTGACACAAGACAACTGAGTAGATATGACAACCAAGTTATCTAAGTAATTTCGAGAAAAGCTTAAATCCCCTCAACAAATCAAAGTGTTCGTGTCAACTGAAAAGTATATATTTGCAAAATATTATTCGGTCAGGCGAGTGCATATCAAATAAATTAGACGTGGATTGGACGGAGGCAGTAGTTTATGATGGAAATATTTCATTTGCATTACAAGTAATAGTTCTTACCTGAGAAACGATGAGCCCCTCTGGATAAACCTCCTGGAGACGAAATCCCCATGGAGGCCCATTCTTAAGCAGGATAACGCGCTCGACAGTCTGCATGTTCAGTTAGTTTTTGGTTGTTTTCTAATCCATGCAATGTGTGACAGAATCACGAAAAAATATCCATTTTCATAGCGATAGCGAAAATTAAGTGCGGCCAGGTAAAAGGGAACTGTGCAGAACGCTGGACAATTCCCGCATCCCAACGTGCGGCGATTCTGCGAACCAATCCCTGTCTGCGCGCACGTGACCGGATGGTCGATAGCTGTAGACCGGCAAATACCGTCTGTGCCATTTGGTGCAAGATGGCGGCAACGCGCTTGCGTACCAAAAAGGCTTTTTGGCCAATGACATGGGCACACATTTGGAAATAAGAATTCAAGCACCGACTAATTCAGTAAGTTGGATCGATACTGCATTCACTGTCATGAATTATGTTAATGATACAACCTATAGCCGAGGCATCCGCTTGAGTGCCAGGAGCTCCTTGTGATGACATCAGTGACTGGAGAAAATTCCAACAACCGGACTAAAATCGCTCTCTCCCAATGAAAAGTTCTGATGTCCCAGCCCATAACAAGCTTTGCGTGCTACCAGCCAAATCCACACGAGTTCATACCATCCCAAAATATCTTCGGTAGCAAAGCGCTCAATTACGTGAGACTGAGCGTTTATGAAATAAATAAAACCAAACAGAATGTGACTTATCTTTCCGCAGTTTTGACTTCAAAAATGCAGAAACATTTCTAGCGCACAGCAGTCGTAATGACGAGTCGTTGAATTTTTTTCACAAACCATAGTATGCATAGGGGTTGCGAGCGACGTGCAATCTCCTTTGAAATTTATGCCTACAGTTTGCTGCAGGAGCAGACTGTCCTATGGTTACCATAAAATGTGCTACTTTCCTAATTTGCTTAACCTATAAGCATTCGCTTATAGGAGCATTCGCTTTAAAAAATGTTTGAGAATATCATGATGAATTTACTTAGCTTGATTGACAACACGCACTAGCGGACCAATGCGTGCATTTTGCCACGGTCAATTCCCCTTACTTATATTAGAAAGAAACTACATATAAGCTAGGGTCAATGTGTAATCGCGAATTCATTGATGGTAATCTCCCTAACGCATTGCGTCCTCATGAAAAACTTGCCTCAGCGGTTTTACTTAATGTCATCATTATTGAAATTATCATCACATAAGCCTGCATAATGTATAAAGTACATGCATATGCATTATAGATTACCAAATAATGATCCCTTTTTGATAGGTGTTAAAAGGTGCTTTAAACGACTATACATAAATCATTCCGTTCCAACCATGAAAAACTCGGCCGCCGCGGTGGTATTTAAGCCCTTGATATCAAGGATAAGGCTCCAACCACCTGAACTACGAGGCCATATGGGGAACTGTGAGTTCAACCACATTTGGCTTAAGTTACCCACCCAGCCTCCTACGACCTCTGCGATCTAACAGATCTGATAAAGCAAGCTGACTGCCCAAGCAGGACTTCCTAAGCAATCCATCTAGAATCCACCAGGCTCATGTAATTAATGGGTGGCTTGGCAGATTTCAAATAGCCCATTGTCGGCAAAATAAATGCCATAAATGGGGCGCGTGGACGTTGTCGAAAAAATGCGCAAATTTGTCACTTTACACCCACAAACTTTCATTCGTATAAAGAGCAAGACGTTTATTAATGTTGTGCTCCAAGATTTTCCTTGCTTCCGTCATATGATTGTTTTCTTCAGTTTAAAGTTCCTTGAAAATTGAGTATATTTCTAATCCAACTTGCAATATTTTCCAGAATTTTGAGACTTTTATTATTGCATAGGAACTATTACTCCGTTCGATTGGATATTAAACTTTCTTTGAACGTCTCAGGTTCTTCTAGTTTTTATGGAATTTGCTATTCTCATTAGAGAAGGTGTCAACGTCTCATGAGAAATACAATTTTTCTGCGGTGGTTTTGCGTCTTTACCTCTAAGCAAGTATTTCTGTGATTTTGAAGGAGGCGAAACATCTTTCCTTGAAAGGGGCGTTAAATGAACATCCAAACTGATCTGTTACGGTTCGTATTTAAAGCCAGTCTGCTCATTTTCAGACAAAATATCGATTTTCTAACCACTCTAATAGGATAAAAGCTACACCTGTCACGGTTCAAGCAGTGATAATCGCATTGTATTAATGAAGCAAAAATAGCAGTTATGTTACCCCAAACAAAATGTAACGGCACGCAAATAAGAGAATTTCTTCTGAAAATCAACAACCAAATGCTAACATTATGCTTTGAAACGCCTTACTTCTAAATCTAGTTGTGTAGGCTCCACAACAAACAGTTTTATGGGTCAAAAATAATTCCTGTCTTGGTGTTTAACTACGTTGATGAAATTTTCCACCTATTTACTACAACACTACGGGCACTTAACTCGCATCAGATTCCCTGTCTCCATCTTAAGGGCCGAAGTGAAAGCTCTGCGCTATGAACAACAGATTCTAATTTTCGGTGGGTTGATTTTCTTGCAACGAAATTAAACTAAAATTGGATTCCGCGCTGAAAGGAATTGCGTCTTTATAATTTCATCAAACAACATTTCCCGCAGGCAAGATCGTCATATACGATATGGAAAAACCAACAAGTTGGAGAAGTTAAAATTGTGGTTATATGTAAATACTCCCACGATCGGCAAAACTGTTATCTTGTCGACGCTGCTATATGGAGCAGTGACCTGAACGGTATACAAGCACGCTCGGAGGCCCAGCCACATTCACCTCAGCTGTCTGTTGTGGATACGAAAGCCGACGTGGTAGTACTGGTTACTGGATCTGGGAGTACTGGAGCAGACAGGAATCTTCAGTATTCAGGCCATTCTGACACAGCTGCAACTGCGCTGTCGCGGCCACCTCGAGAAGATGGACAACGAGCGATTACCCAAAAGACTCTTTTACGAAGATTTCGCCACGAGTTCTCGTCGACAAATAGACAAAGACCGGCGCTACATGAATACCCTAAAGACTTCTTTGAAGCGCTTGCAGATCAACCTGGCGAACTGGGAGGACTGAGTCCAGAACTGGCCGACCTGGCGGAGGACAGCGAGGTCAGGAGCAGCGATCTACGAAGCCAACCGCGTAACCGCCACAAAGGCCATATGTAATGCTCGAAAATCCAAATTGCCCCCGTCTTGTAACATCAAAATTAAACCACTATCAACATGCCCACGGTGTCAGCGAACATTTCGAGCACGAGTCGGTCTTATTGGGCATCTTCGGACCAAATGCATCACCCGCACGACACCATCTGATGCCTCCTCGTCCACCTCTTTTCCGTCTCCCACGTCAATAAACAACCCTAACGGTGCTTCCGATCCCCATCGCTATCCTCCGCCATCATTGTCCTCCCAACGTCTGCTGCGATGACGCCTGCCCCCACCAGCAATGGAAACAATTATGCTGCACCGTCCAACACCAACCTCGCCACCGCCAACACCAGCGATTCGGACTCCGTCCCAGCCTGTCCTTATTGTGAACACTCATTTGCATCACACATCGGCCTGGGCGGTTACTTGTGAATCCATCGAACAGACTGGCGAATCAGTGCCTGGGGCACTCACATACGACTGCCGCAACCGTCCACACTGTCCACACACTCACTCACTGCATGATCTTACTCGGTCACCCGCACATCGAAAGCGGTGGAATTGACCGCTGTATCAACGTACCTAGCACACTCTGCACAAGCATTGTGACCAGCCAAATCAACATCCCATCGCCCAGCCCGTTACGACCATCACCAACACCACCACTGAAACTAAATTTGACGCTTCCAACCTATCCTGCTTATACTGTCCTCGTGCATTCGCCGCGCAAATCGGCCTGGTCGGTGACTTGTAAATTTATCGCACAGGGACTGACGAGCCAGTGCTTGGAGCAACCACATACACACGCCGCATCCACCTCAACTGCCCTCACTGTCCCCGCACATTCAGCCCCACGAATTGGCCTTTGAGCTCACATGCGCATCCATGAAAAACTGTGGTAGACCACTGCTGATAATTTCACATCATCACAAATCTACGCACAACATATGCACCCCACATTAACAGCACTCATCGCCACACAACGCAAGCATTCAGTTGGCACCTGCCACGCATGTGGGACGTGTACGTCTCGGTTCCTTCTCTATCTGGTTCATCTGATGTATGTGCGATTCGAGTCTGTGACTATCACGGTGCACCAAACCCCGTGGCTTGGAAGGATGCCGACTGACACCTCAACTGAGTCCACGCAGTCTGCCCAGTTGTATGTTTGTGTGCAGTTGCAGACTGGTGGGCTAAGATTCAGGCTGCAACGGCTTCTTCTTAACGTGACCACTGGCACTATCACACATGTGATGAGTGTGCATGCGTATGGGTAGTGCCTTTCGGTCGATGTCTGATTGGCTACCCGGCCTTTGAAGGCTGACGGCCCCGGCTAAATGTAGAGGTGTGTCTCACCCTTGTGGGCTTTAAGGATTGTGCGCGTATGCTATATCACGCTTCAGTATGCGCTGACATTTCTCTGACACCTGATTCCCTACCGGTAGATGTACTTGCGCTCCCGCTAGGTATACAGGCCGTGTGTGTGCGGTTGCCCAGTGACTTGTGACATCCTCCGCTTTCTAACCCATTTTTTTACTGATTAAAATCCTGGTCAAGCGTTTTTTGTGGTCGAGGGGATGTGATGATACACCTAGGCGCGGATCTCCCAGCATCGCTGGTCGGACGGAGCACCGCTTCGGCACCTCCGAGATGCGACTCCGTCTGTAACCCCGCAGGAGGACACAAGCTCTCAGCAAGCTATTGGCTCAGGAGATGGAAGACCGGCCCACTTCTTCTCCTTCTCACCTATTCTCCACCCTTCCCCTCTGCCCCTCACCCATTGCTCTACTCTATTCTCTTACCTCGCGTTTGAAACTTCTACGGATCGCCGTATCATCACCTCCAAGAAGAAGCTTCGTCTGCAACCCACAGGAGGCTATAAAGTAAGTGACCACCCAAGTAAGCCGAATATTGCTCGGCTGTTTTTGCTTTATTTCCTTTGTCTGCTGGTTTTTCTGTCTTTGTTGTGGGCTAAATACCGTTCTGTTAAATATTGTTCTGTTGACTTTGTTTGCTCACCGTTTATATTTCAATAACCAGTTAGCTTGGAGAGAGGTGTGGGAAACTCGGCTTCCCGTCTCTCTACCCTTCCCCCATCACCCCTCCCCTCCCACTCAAAAGTCCTACGATGAGAACGACAGGTATAAAGTAGGCGGCCCAGTCTAAAACGAGTCGCTCTCCCACTAAACAAAGTAGCGGCCCATAGTGTTGTCCAGCAGTCGTTTGAGGTATCGAAGCTGTCAGTGACAGCACTGCTCACCCCCGTTGGAGGGAAGGGGCTACAAAATGTGCCGTAAACAAATGCGGGGATCACGACCGTGGCTAGCAGGCGCAAAACACACTGTCAAAACAGCCAAACAAGAAGCCATACTCTCTCTCCACCCCCTCCTCCCCGTCGTTCCGCCCCACAAACTGGTAGAGTGAGTCCGCTTATACTAGCAGCCTGGAATGTTCGTTCCCTTTTAGACAATCCGAGGAGCAACCTATTGGAATGGAGTGCGGCGCCGGTGGCTTGGGAACTGGCGGGCTACAAGGTGGACATCGCTGCACTCAACGAGACCCTGTTCCCTGAGCAAAACCAACTGGAGGAGGTGGGTGCCGGCTACACCATCTTCCGGACCGGTCAACCCAAAATAGAGCGTCGGGACGTGGGTCGTCTTTGCCATCCGGAACGACATCGTGGGACGACTGCTCTGTCTGCCGGAGGGTTTCTGTGATCACCTCATGGGCCTCCGCCTGCCTCTTCGGGGAGGCAAATTCGCCACCACTGTCATCGTCTACGCTCCTCAAGATGACTTGCTCTGACGCTTCAAGGAACAAATTCTACGAGGACTTGAACACACTCCTGGTGACTGTGTCGAAGGCGGATAAGTTGATTATCCTTGGTGATTTCAACGGCCGCGTCGGCACAGACCATGCTGTCTGGAGAGGGGTGCTGGGTTCCCATGGTCTCGACTGCTCCAATGACAATGGCCAGCTTCTCCTACGAGTCTACGCAGAACACCGTCTCGTCCTGACAAACACTTTCTTCTGCCTTCCGATGAAGAGAAGGCGTCCGGGATGCATCCTCAACAGTTGTCCGTCCGGTCAGTTGCTCCGATCGAATCCCCAAATCAGAATTCAACAGCAAGGCCAAAAATATGGGCCTATTGACGCGCTTAAAGCTATCACGTGCACTATAAGTCGTGGCTTGGAAGGTTGCCAACTGACGGGACAATCCGGACCTCGCAGTCTCCCGTGTGGGTTTGTGTGGAGCGGCCGACTGTTGGTCTAAGAGTCAGGCTGCAATGGCTCCTTCTTGATGTGTCTTTTGTGCAATCCCACTCCGTGAGATCCGAGCTGGGCGTGGCGACTCCGGCCATGCCAGCCACCCTTTTTCGTTAGTTAAAATCCTGGTCATTTGGTGTGTGGACTAGGTGAGGAATGGAGCGCCAAGGTGCGGGCTTGACCGTGCCAGCCGCTTGCGTCCCCCCCCCGCCATTGATCTTCTAAACTATGTTTTGACGCCAATCTCAGGTGGGGGAGGAGGAGCGAGTGCGGTAGATGCTGTGGGAGTCTGCTACCAACGTCAACTAATTTACGTGCAAGTCACCGCGCATGCTCTCACCTTGTTGTGGAGCACACTGTGAATATCACCGGCAACGATGTTTTATCTTTCCATCGCCTGTGCGGTATCTTTGTGAGTACAGAGCCAAAAGTAAAGATGTTATTAGACGTGATACTCACGTTGCCGGGATGAATAGGAATGATAACTGGTCAAGCGATCATTTGTATCAAAAGCGAACCTGTAGATAAAATAACAATTTATTATGTCAGTGATTATTGTGTATTCAATATTTTATACTCCTTTACAGGAGGGATATTTATGCAAACAGGAACATGTAAAATAGCAATGTTTAGTCAAGATATGACTTGTGCTTTGACCGAAAGGTGTGTTTTGGTGTACATGACCTTGTCTAACTTCTGCCGCAACATCTCATTTATGCATAAGATTTGATTTGTAGTGATTGAGTACCTTGTTCCAAATGCAAAACATCTTGGTCTTGGTGTCCTTTCCTATAGTTTTCGGCTTTATTTGGTTACTCGCAAACATAAAAAACGTCAGCAGTGTTAAAACTTTCCTAAGACGGAAAGTACTTTTACACTAAATAACCTCAAAGTCCTCTCCTCAGTATCAATTTGCTCACTTAAGTCGTTCGTTAAATAACATCAACTTTCCCGTAGCTTCAGTGACAGAGTTATTTCTGATAATCAAAGTGCGTGCAGTAAGATTGACAGATTACCGCTATGTGATTCTTGTTTGCCTTGCGCGCGATTACGTTTTGTCCCCGAAGACTCCCCTGGGGGTCTCGAGGAAGTTCAGTACAAACAACGACGAAAAATTCCATTTTGACGTCAACTGAAGAACCTGCGCAATCTGTGCATCAGATAAATTTATTTTGCGAGCTTGGAACTTGAGTCGCTTACACAAAGGATGCGACAATTAAAGCCATTTTCTGAGGCTGTTGAACCTCGTTTATAAAACGTTATCCACACCTCTGATACTGATGACAAACCGTAATGACTGAGAGAACACGAAATGATTGTTTCTTGGGATTTTGAATTCGCTGGGTATAAAGACAAGAAGCTGAAATAATAGGTAAAGAATAGCACTTAGGCTGACCGCTGTGCTTCCTATTGCCATACTAACCGGTTTAAAACCTTATTTCAGTTTGACGGTCTCAAACGGTGATGTCGGCTGTGTGCCTAATTAGGTGGTGGGCTCAAAATGATGACATATGACGTGTGCAGAATTGCCCAAAATTTGCTGCACCCTCTCCTTACTCAAAAATATGGGCCCGGTAGCATTCCAGAGGCAGAATGACTGGAGGAGGGTTCGGATTCAGTGACTGACACGGCTTAATAACCAGTCTACGATCAGGTTCACGCACAATGGGTCAGGTCTTCATAGGAAACAAAGGGCGGCGCGGGTCTTGTCTAGCACAACAATTTTCTTACACATGGCTACACTTTTTGCGGTCTAACTGCCCACCGCCGAAGGAAAGCTTTATGAAGTAGGCGTTTTAAAAACACTTCCTTATTTTTTAAATAGTCCCAGGAGGATATAAATCCTATGGTGGCAATTATTTTACATGTTGCTCAGTGTTGGGTTTTCTGTGATACTCACTGACTGCCCTATGCAACACTGAAATTTATTGCCGAGTCCCACGCAAAGACGACTTGCGCTTGAAATAAGAAAGCAGTTCCCTCAAGTTGTCTTCGAATACGGCAAGAAATATATTACAACCATACCTATCAGTACAGTTTTTTCTCATAGCGCTGATCATCACAAATAATATTTCTCAGATGTCGACTTTATTAGAATAGATGTTTATCATCACTAAGGTTATGAAACGCGTGTTTCGCGAGGCTGTCAATTTTGGCATATTTGACTAAGCATAGGAGGAATGAACTGCGATTTAAACATCTGAGAATATGTTAGTCAGGAGAAACTAAAAGCTAATCCTGTAAACAACAAACGTCCCGAAATGATTGATGGACTCCCGGTTTTGCTGAAATCTCTAATCTACGAAAATGCGTTCTCATGTACGACCGAGGTGGATTCGAACCAATTCATAAAGGAAAGTTATTATTGGGACTTTGTGGCGCAAAATGCTGGCGTTCGGAGAAACGACAGATGGCAATTGAAAACTGACGTTTGATAAAAACATTTAAACAAAGGCTGTTTGTCCTACATAAAATCAAAGGCTATGGCTGGAAAATTTCGACTTCGTTTCGCCCGGACCGCATAAATTCTCCCCCCTCTTGCCCAACTGATTAATCCAAAGTCTATCACAGAGACTTAGGCAGTTAAGTCATTAAAAAAGATTAATGAGTTGCTTAGCAAAACGTGTCCGGAATACAGCTGAACTATCAGCTTAAGAAAACTTTGAGCAAACTGGTAATCGAGTCTAAAATATATAAAAGGCCTGGTAAGTGATTTAGTTTATTGGGTATACATTTCTAAGATATTTATTTTGCGTATTATTGACGTGACGCTTCTTTGTAGATTTTTACAGTATTTATCGCATTGCCAAATTGGAGTCACATTAATGTCCCAATTATGTTACCCTACTGCAAGGGCACCTTGTCTTAGCAGGCATTTCGTGCACGCCTTGGGGCACTTTTTACTTCCACTGTTAATGCTCCATCCTTTTCAGTCTTCCTTTAGGCAACCTAATTAGAGGTATCGTAAGAAAATACAATTTCCAGACCCAACGCTTCGTCTACCAAAGCTCCCGAGTACACATGTTACGTTACGCCACAGAGAACAATGTTGGGCAGTTCAAGTTAATAAAGGACCCTATCACGTGATCCGAGATATTTGTTTGTGACTGATTACCGTGTTCATTTTATATTATATTGTTGTGATTCTTGCTTCGAGTTCTATGTCTCTTTGCAGCATGTTAGAACAGGCAAAATCATCGTAATGAAACAGTCGACGTTTAGGTAATTAACATGACAATGCGCATGGGTCATTCGCTTTGTTGTTGACATCAACAAGAAATCCAGTATGAAATTTGGAAAGTATATGGATGTTTTGTTCTAGCAGATTCGAAATGAAGTCAACGCAAAGGCTTGGGTTCTCAGTGGACCGCTGGCATTCATAGCTTCTCCAAAAGTCCGTCAGACGAGAGTCTGAACGTTCTTGGGGAGTCTTGTTTCATTTCTTTTGTCTCCATATACAGAAATGTTATGACTTTTAACGGCACGGAGACTATTAATACGTTTAACTGTCATAGCGACTGCTCGGAGAGGCCGCTGCTAGTAGGTACCTATGTACATTCACAAAATCAGGTTTTGTATTTTAAAATCTAGTCATTACATAAAGGCAGCTTTGGGAATGCAGGGAGAAAGATTTTTATGAGGTGCAAACACAGATATGTTGTCACGATATCTAATTAATTTCCTAGAAGGACATTACATGTTCAGGTTCACTATCTATTCTACTGAAGCCGCTTTGGGGTTGAAAGTGTAAAATGCTAGACAACGTTTACGAAAATTTTCAAAAGACCATTATACACAAAAGCCTTTACTTTTTAATCTATACGACCTCTCTGCCAAAAGTTCCATTTTACGACTGAGAAGTCAGTCAGAAAACATGTGTTTCCGGTAATTCATCATCCAGCCACCACAATTAAAGCGACAATGAACTTGTGACAGTGTGTATATGTCTCTAGAGAAAGGGGTAGTCAGACACGTCGTTCCCACGCCTGCTGTGTGACGGGGTCAGCGTGTTGATGACATTGGAATTCGGGTTGAGAAGGGGACGAAGTGGAGAAGTTAAGGTAATGCGTACGACTGTTATCAGGAGGCTATGGCGGCATGCGATTACTACCTGCAATCGGTCAGAGAAGACAGACTGCCTGTATCATCGTCTTCTGACAATATAGCGCTGGATTCGCCAACGAACTAGTTACTTTAGAATAAGGTGATTCCATACTAACAGCACAGGTACTAGCCAAAAGCCCATACGCGTGTGGTTCGACGATATTCTGCTGTTGAATGACACAGCTGTGAGGGGTTCGGCTCGTCAGTGGCTTCCTCAGCATTCCCTGTCTGCCTTCTGGTCGATACTCCAATTTTTAGAAATTGTAGCTTTTATTTCATTAGAAATTACTGTGGATTTGAAGTAGATCAGTATATCTAAGGACTACAGACTCAGACCAAAGTTTTTACTCATGAATATTTGGACCGAAGTCCATCAGCCACAGCGGATAACCGCGTACTATTCATGAACTGCTGACAGGCAGCTAGTAGTATACTGCTAGCTGCTGCTAGCACCCGTTTGCGTAGGCCTTTAGAGTAGTGTGTCAGTGCCTGGTAGCTAACTAGAAAGGTTTGTTTGGCATCGACTTGACAGTTTTTATCGATTAGATGTGCAAGAATCTAACTTGAAACCGATCCATTTTTCCCTTTACTTAGTCAGACAGATGCGTCTGCGACCCTCTCTTCCATATGCGAACACATACCTGCCCGGAGGGGTAAAAAGGAAAGTCGATCGATACAAACTACCAAGTCGACGTCAAACAAACCTTTCAAATTATCGACTTGGCGCCAGCACAATAATTTAAAGGCCTACGGAAACGGGGGCTAACAGCAGCCAAGGCAGTAACTAGTGCGTTAGCGAATCCAGCGCTTTATTGCTCAAAGAAGTTGATACAGACAGTCTGTATTCGTTGGCCGATTTCAGGTAGTGATCGCACGCCGCCCTGGCCCCCTAAGAACAGCCATACGTTTCCCGCGTGTTGGAAATATAGGCAGCCCTCAAACCTTACTAAAGTGCAACTACTGAACTTCTGTCGCGACCACCCAATTATCTACAAACGCAATTGCACAAAGACGCTATACCGCCGTGCTGAAACACATCGTAGTGAACTGCGAGGCCAATTTTCTAAATAACAGTATCTTCAATGGATGCTCAGAGCGAATGGTAGCTCCCCAAAACTTCGTCAACCGGCGCATGTGCAAACGGGACCAGCGAATTAGTCCAACCGGCTCCAAGTTTTGACGAGCGCTCCCACACACGAAGAACGTCCCGGAAGCCGTCAACCGTCTGTTCACAAGACTTGAAACTGTAAGTGCACACAGACCGGAAACAGCTATCGGACTCTAAGTCAGGAGGCCGGAAGACCTCCTGTCACGGCAAGAAACGTATGGAGTAGTTTAGCAGAGCTGTCGCAATTATGGACAAGGCCATCACATCGGAGAAACTGGGAGATTACGCTGGAAGCGAATAGATGAGCACGCGAAGATAGTGAGGGAAGGGTTGACGCCAGCTTATTCGATGGGGACTGGTCACACCTTTAATGTTGACGCCAGAGGCAAAACCCGCGTGAACTGCAGGATACTCGAGTCAGGGTTTTCCGACCCCAAGTTGATCAACGGGCGCAATGACCTACCGACCCCATATCCTGTGCTGAGACTTCGTCTGGGCAGAGTGATTAACCACGCGGCGAGAGGCGGATGACGGACAATTCCAATGACGGCGGGCCAAATTGCCGAGTAAGAATCATGCCAAGAATCTACAGTGGTGATTACCTTTCGACAACTAATGGCTCGGGTGCGGACTAGCAAGCAACCATCGCATTAAGTACTATCCCACAGGGGTGAGTGTGGTGGACACCATATACATTAGACTTGTGGTTGTGTGGCAGCTGTGGCCTATAAATTCTGCACTCGTCGTGGTCCCATCTTCCTTATCTGTGGCTGTTCCTGATGACTGGTTCGAGTGATAATCTAAAACGTCAGGGCAATAAACCTCTTGTTCCGGCGGCTGCATTTCCTTCTGTGGGCTTTCTGACCTTACAATATGTGCGCAGTCGTGTGTAAAAAAACTGGCAAAGTGGAATAAGATATCTCATTCATTGACTTAAACGCCGGGGAATCTCTGCGTAAAAGTGCGAATATATAGTTATAAACTTCATTTGTCTGTTGGATTTTCAAACTATGCTAAAGTACATATCTACCAGATATAAGAGTAGATTTTTATGAATACATCATTAACATAGTAAGTAACATTCTTAATTTCATGAATTTGTCGATTGTTTAGTTCATTTTTTACTTGGCATAAATAAAACTGGATAAGGAATTGCCGAATATATTTCAGGAAAATAATGGTAGCAAGTGAATAAGAGTGAAAATCTATCACGAAATCATGCATTCTACTTTTCAGCTCGGTAAAATACGCAGCATATTCAAATGAAGGATTATTTGCGGTATACCGACCTATCTGCATGATCACCAGGGTTGGCGTTACTACTCCACAACGCTCGTTCTGAAATAAATGATGCAACGAATTTTTAACCTTGGTACCTATTAAAACCAACGACCGAGCTTTTTACGAAATACGCACGACATAAGTTTTATATTGAGCTGTGTAAGCATTTGCTAAACCGGTTGCCCACAAAACGTTCTCAAAAGTAATATCTTGAAATACTAAACCCGATTTTAATAAGAGAAGTAAAGCATGTCTTAGAAATGCGATCTAATTCTGAATTTTTAATTCAGAAGACTACTTGGCGAGCATACGTGTGCTTTCGATAAATTCTCATCGAGTCAATGATTTATGTAAGAACGGGATACAAGTTAAATGCGTGAGTGATAAGAGAATTCGCTTGCATTTTGTCTTTTCATACAGGTGGAGTGTTCGGAGAGGGGGGAACGGGCAGGAGGAATAAGATACAGTGAATTAGGAATGGGGCAGTTAGTTAAAGCAGTGAGGGTTAGGGGGAAAGGGAAGAGGCCGCGGAGGAGTACACGTACTCAACCGACCTTTGACTACGGTAGGCGTAGAGCCTTTTCTACGTTCTTCTGTGCGCACAAGACCGGCTTTCCTATTCTCGTGAAAGCGCCTCTCTTGTTGCTAGTAGACGCTAATCCAGAGGCCAGGGTAGTTCAATGGGACCCTGTAAATCACACAGATGGCTCGTTGGGCTATGCACGATGTCCGGATTCAACAACTTGAGGGTGATTGGCTCTGTTTGCGCTTTTAATTTCGCTTTTTCTCAAACATGCCGGTAAGGGCTCCTGATTCTTTTGGATGGGCGGCCACTCCTGCGACCAATATAACCTACTCCATAGGAGCAAGTAAAAGAGTAAATGCACATGGAGGTGATCTGGGCTGGTAACCTATATTTGCCTTCGGGCAAAAGAGGAATGATCGGAGATAATACCCGAAACCTTGCCGCTGACAAGGTTAGTGAAACAGCCCGGTCAAGGCGTCATCTCAGGAGTTCACTCGTTGCGTCTCCATAAAAAGGGAATTTAAGGAACAAAGTTTTCTTTTCCGTCTTCATTGTGACGGGTTTGCCGGTCCCTTTATGATATTCTTCGCGATGTTGGTCCCAAATCTTTCTATGTCCCTCGTCGTTGCTGTCTACCGAACAGATTTTCTCGTCCTTTGCGCAAAAACAGCGAACCAGATTGCGTTTCCGTTGAAGTGGTACGAAACTGCAGAAGTACGTATTCTTTCCAGACCAAGTTTTCTTCTAATATATGCTCCTTTGAACGCTACCTTTAGCATTTCTGCTTAGAAGGACATCAAAAAAATGAACGAACCTGCCGTTTTTACCTCCGCCGCAAACCTGGATGATAGATGTGCCTGACTTACAGCATTTAAGAGGACATATATGTTGGTTTCCGCGGTGACGATTGCGAGGATTTCATTAATGTGACGACCATAATGTCTTAGATTATTGATCCGGTGGTGTAGTTTACACCCCTCTATCTTGCTCTTTAGGACATCATCTAATACAGGACCAGTTGGCGAACCCATAGTACCATCGTCTATCTGCATATATAGCTGGTTGTCAGTAATAACTGCACATTAAGTGCACATCATAGTAACAGTTCCTTTAGTGCGTTCGTCAGTATTCCTATGTCTAGCCTATTGGCCGAAAGGTATTCACAGATGTACTTGACTGTCTCTGTAACTGGAAGTTTTGTGAAGATTGATGAGACATCTAGAGAATGCATTGCCTATTCGTATAAATTCAGGTCTTCGACGCCGTCGATGAGTTTAAATATGTCCCGACAGTTACTTGGTTGTAGTTAATATTCTAGGGCTTGTCTTTCCCCTTAAACTACTTAGTTATCGCATGATACGGAAAGTTATGCATGCCAAAATTGGAAAAACTGAAGGTCTTCTCTGTGGATCTTCTGTAGGCTATACAATTGATGGAATGTATATGTCAACTGGTCGCAGGTTTTCGATTTCGCGCTGGCTTATGAAATCCCCTGTGTGGAGTTTTCTTTTACACTCAGTAGGTTGTGCTTTTGCTCCATCCATTCACCCAGCTGAAGGAAAAAATTAAATATTTCCGTTCTCGCATACAAACAGTACACTGAAACGCGATCAGATGCTTATATAAATGAAGAAATCTGGCTTTCACTGAGACCGTCAAGAAGTATGAGTGATGCACCTTTGAAGGTCCTCTACTTAAAGGTACGGGTTTTGACTGATGAAAGCAAAAGTGAATATTTGGATCTTAGTGGAATTGAAAACGTAATAACTACTAAACTGTCGTATGACTCCGAAGCATCAGTAGAGCATGGGTGACAATTTCCGCAGATTTGCCAAAGAGTTGCACAGCTCTTCCCTTCCAAAAAACGTAATTGCGACCAACGATACGGTATTCGTAAAAATTCGCCTAATACTGGACAGAAAAACTAAACTGCATCACGTGCCGTTCATGCTGACGTAAAACTGAAGCTCTTCCGAGGATTTACGTAAATTAAAAATCAAGATATGTGAAGGTGTGTGACTGTTTTTGATTACCTTGTGCTTTTTATGTGGGTCAAACCATTATTACTGAGAAGAATAGATAAACCATCGTTCATTCGAAATATGCATTTTGGTTTTTTGTTTAAAATGTCTTATTTAATTCCACTAAAGACGCTGGCTTTGATAGTATGGGGTGCGCCGGGACTTACTGACATAGCTTCATGTCCTAAGAAACACCACTGAAAATATAAGAATGACCAACCACGCAGTGACCCTTTTGGGAGGCAGAAATTAATGGAATGTTTACTTATTTTTAGCTTGCGGACCAGTTCATGGCATAAACATCCACTTTTCTTGCCATGGACTGCTAGCTAGTCTTTTTATTTAGTAGGATAACATCGGTTTTCTGGGACAAAATGTGATAATTAAAGGGCAACGGTGTTATGCGCATAAATAATATTTCGTGTACTATTTAGGTACTCGCCACTCTTACCCATTGCTGCTCATTTCGCCGCGTCACAATAGGCTGCTCTTATGACCAATGAGATGCTGCTCATGTGGGTTGCAAGAATACGGGACTCGCGCATTACTGAGAACTAGACGTCACGCTAATCTTCGGTGATACTACAAAGATTTGCGCCGGACATCTTTTGGGTCGAATGAACGGCGTTCCTCATCTCTCCCGCCACGTCTCTTTCCAAGCAGTTGTTCCACCTGCAGTAGGTTTTCCGGTATACTATTATGACTACTCTGGACCGTCACTCGTACAGGCCCACAATCACGTCGAAAGCTCGCGACAAGGGTCGGAAAAGACGACTGAAGAACAATTTACTGGCTGCCGCAGTGTAAGCTTAAAAGTCAAGCGCTCCATTGCACCGGATTTGAAATACAAACGACAAAAATCGGCATCTTACATTCTGGTTGATAATGACAACTCTCAAAATGCTGCACCTCCCGGCGGCAGCAATGCGCACACGCCTCGACTGCTCTCTGTTACTGAAGACGTCCTGGCCAAAGGAAGCCCGGCATGTGATACGTCCAGCATGGCGATGGATAACACTGACGGTCAACCAAAATACCTGCAGAAGTTACGGATTTTTAGGAGGTTTGACTGCAGTGAACTAGGTTTGCGAAAGCGCACAGCAGCGCTGTTCAAGCGTCTTAAAGCATTTCTTCTGGCCAATAAGCGGATCTTTGGATTTGTTGTCCTTTTCATTGTACTTGCTTTGATTGTCTGTATCTTTGCAATTATCATTAGTTTATCTGCAAATACTCAAGGTAACAGCAACTTACTTCAGTCCAAATCCATTTTTCAGCAGCCCGGAGTGCCTACTTTAAGGAGGACCATGGCGATCTGTGATACTCCATTATGTTTACGAGTGGCACTTACCATTCAGAGCATGTTGATTTCTCTCCGACAGTCATTTGGTTCAGCTGGTAGCCTGGAGAACTGCCAGGAAATATTTCTGCGCAAATGTTTCCAGCAAATACCCAAAGACAACGAGAATTATGAAAAGGTATTTCGAGAGCCCTTGGAAATAGCGACGAACGTTCTTCTACGAGACGCCTATAAAGTGGATACCAATTCTGATGATTCTGATAAAAATTGGAGACACGGTGGGCGACCGCTCCTTCAAGCCTGTATCCGACGTCACCTGATGTATGGCTATTCTAATTTCGGTCATGAAAATCAATATGAACGACTAGCACTTCGGCATGGAATCCCAAACTACGTCGATTCTGCACAAACGCCTCAGGCTTGGAAGGGAGTTTCCATTGGCAATTCTTCACGACAATCATCATCAACTACTGCGTTTTCTGAAAAAGAGTCAACGCAAAGTGCAAACGATGGAATGCCGATAGGCAATGATTTAAGCAAACGCCCTCCGATACTTCAGCAGATGCTTGAAAGCAGCCTTCTTAGCTACAACTCGTTTGGTAGCTATATATTTGAATAAAGATTAACACGTAATCCATAATCTGTCAGTAACATTATTGTTGAGGTGCATAATTGGAATACATAAGTGAAATTTTTTATCGCCGATAACGCCGCTAAGGCAAAGTGCAAAATGCTTGATCTGCAAAAGTATTGTTTGGTGATGTTCAAATAGTAGAATGAAATGGGTCAAAATAATATTCAGTTGCATCTTACTCCAAAAGCTTAACTATTCATAAATACTTTAGGACTGGCAACTTTACGCAAGATTACCATCCGTCCAATTATACAATCAGACCCGTCATACGCTTTGCTTGTCTGTGGAGAGCCAATTTGATAAAATAATTTCTCTGTACCGCGTACATAAAACGTTGAAGTCTCGTGACTTTAATGAGTTATTGTTTAAAATTTTCTGTTAAGTCGGCCAATTTCAAGTAACAGGCTGTCTGGTTGCTTGAAAATACCCCATTATGCAAAATATTATTCGACACTTATTGGCGTTAAAAAGCTGCCACTAGCAAATAGCTGCCCACCTAACCAGGATAATAACGATTCTCTTTGCGCTGCCGCCCTGGTATTTTTGACTTACGCCAAAATAAACAAAACCACTACAGTAAAACGGAGCGAGATCCCAGATCGCATTTCTAGCATAATCGAATTTTGACTGTTTCTTGCATATGAACATGGTATGAATTGTTTTTGTCAAACCTCTTAGAAATGATGCACAAGTGTGTAAAGCGGCTTACCAACCTGCTTTGAATAACGGAAAGCGAAAATTTCGCTATCTCAGAAATGAGTTTGTTGCTTCGCTGCCATTCATAACCCTATGTTATGTCTGAGGAATTTGATACCTTGAACTATAAGCAATTTCTGTGATACGTTCGTTGCTAGGGGTGGGGTGTGACGGAGAGACTGAGCAATAAGTTTCAAATGGCACGTTATAAAGATAGGTAATAAATGCATGGCAACGCTTAAGCGGTAGCACGTTTCTTTGATTATCTTGGTGGCAGTTACTGGGCGAATAAATAAACAACGCAGACACGTAGGCGCATATAAATAAAATGATAATATTTATTGCTTAAATCTAAACAGAGGCCACATGTGCATGAAGTGGAAGCAGAAGTAGAAGTGCAATTTTTTACTATACAGAACATAATGTTGGAAATAACCTGCTCACGGTCAACTTTTACAGAGCAAATACCATTTTTTTCTGACCACCTGCTCATTACATATATAGGTTGATTAAAATAAATAGAGACCACACAGTGAAACCTCGAAATAACTGTTGCGTTATTGGGTAAAATAATTCGTTACTAGTCGTCCTGATTCCAACATTATTATATCCTTCGTTGGTAGACTTTGATTAAATTCACAAAATTACCAAACGGCGTAGACGGGTGTCGCAGAAGAGAAAAGTAGAAAGTTTATAATTGGTATGTGTATTTCAGTTAAATCTGACGTATCGGTTAGCAAAAACCCTAAAACATAGACAATTAGCTCCAACGGAAGGAAAACAATTTCTAAACCGGCGTCAGTCAGCAAATAAGTAAGATGATGTTACATTTTGTCGGGAATAAATTGAATACGTTATATATTTTGAGTTTGTCTTGCTATCTCGCGGCCGAACTTTGAATGAACGAGACCTTGTTGCCAAGGTCATGGCGATTTTGTTTTTAAATCGAGATTAAAGCAGATTGAAAATAACGACTAAAATATAAGCTGAGGTTATTGTTGGAAATATACTTATGATTCATGTTTGGTGGTCTTTGGTCCGAAAATATTCATAAGTCCACTTGCAGTCATTGTGATTACTTTCCTTCGTGGCTGATTTGAAAGCCACGATAGATGCTGGTCGCAAGATTGACAACGATATCCAAATTTCTTAACAGACGTTTGATGCATTTACGTTAGAACGCCAAACATATACTTACAAAGCTTGCTGGTTTTCTTAATAAAAGCTTACAGGTTACCTCTGATTCCATGCGTGTTAACGTGTATTTGCTAGCGTGGTTGTTCCGACAAATATAGCATTTAGGGAACATGTTGTGCATAAGGTTTTGGCAATTACGAGACAAATTATGCGAGTGTAAAATTAAACTCGGTCCTTTTAAGTGCCAGGTATCTTATATTCACATTTACGGAGAACTTTTGCCTCCCTACATCCAGCTGAATAAAACATGATCTTCCTAACATTGATCCTTGATGTTGGAACGAAGCGGAACTTCGCGCGTACATTCTGCCTTAGATGACCCGTTTTTCACTTATGATATAGTCCATCCTATATTTACTTACTGCAGATTTTTCGACCAACCCAAGTAAAAAAGCTCGTATGTTCTTAACAAAAGCGCGTCGTAAAAAGGAAGCTTTAACTAACTAGTATTGACGATGCATAGTCAGATTTGTATGACAAAGCTTTAAAGGCTATTCAATCGCAAGTCGCCTGTAGTTTTTATTTTTTACCCTAATTTAACGAAACTGCCGATATATTTCCCATGCTTTTTTAAATTTCTATTCAATGTTGCTTGAGAACTCACCGCAGTCTTCGAGGGCATTATCAATTAGTTTCTCTTTCCTCTTAAGTAAGCGGGCTAAATGACAATGTCTTTCAATATCCCTCGGTATCTAACCAACAAGTAATAATTACGCTTCTTTATAATCACTTAAATATAATGATTGTAGTCGAACAAATTTCCCCGTATGCCTAAAGTACATGGATTTATGCCCTTTTATTTTTTGTTCTACATCTCATGCCAATGACTATCTGATCCTGAGGCTTTTGTTTTTATTTTTGAAGATGAAGTCCTACAAAAGTTGCAGATAGGATATGGACTCTCGTTACTTTTTGACATGTGGATTGAAGGCGATCAAATAAGGGTAAGCGCTTTTAATTAAAAACTAAACAGTGATGAAGCTCAGCTACTCACCTTGCATATGAGATGCTTTTCAAATTTAACGCCACCCTCGAGCCTTATAACGCTTCAGATTTATGGCATCTTTTAAACAATGTTTTATGTCTCCAGAACGAATTAAAATCACAAAGTATTAGTGGGTAACCTTGTAAGATACGTGCAGTGCAACGCAATCACAGACTAGAAAGGTCTCGATTTGGAAAAATGAATGGAGGTCAGTTAATGTGATCTTATTCTGGTCTAACACTCCACTGTCAAATGGAACTCTGTCATTGTCCAGGAATTTGCTAAAGGTATCCCCCAACTAATGACATGATAAATCTGTCCGATAGACGGCAAATGATGGCGAAACTCATGAGCGTTTTTGGCTTTCCCGAAGTTGCACTTCATAGTTTTCAATAATCTTAAGGTTATGGCATCGTATTTAGTGCTCGCCTGAACTTCTCTATGTAGGTTTTGAAAACAACATTTTTACATCTAAACTCTGTTCGACCTTTGCTGTGTCTAAGTGCACGGATTTCTTGATAAAAACATCCACAGGTATTCTGCTAATGTTCAGAGTTTTTCTGTGTGTGTTCAGCTCCACATCGGCTCTTCAGGGTACTAACAAATTCATATTTTCACACAAAAGTTACGGGCATTAACTTATTACGAATAAATTCCAGATTTTAGAAGATACTGTCTTCGAATACCAAATAAATGACACCTGCTTGATGTTTCCAAATGGGCGGTATTTTGTTTCAAAAACAAACCTTCATACTAACCGCTAGAATTCTCATATATCACCCTGCAGCAACGTTGGAACCACGAATGTGAAAGTAAATCAAATATATGAATTGTCAAGACCATCCGCGAGTACACTGTTGAAACTTATGCAGGCGGCAGGTACATTTACAATGGAAGTAAAAAGTAGTGGTGGGTCAAGATAACTGTTCTTCTTTCCCATCTGATCACCGTATGATTTAAAGATCCTCTGGGAAATGTATAAAGAAATGACCACCATAATATAAACTTAGCTGTTATAGAAAGTCATGCCAATTATCCTTTTCCGCATGAGCCGATAATTCTTGGTTGTGTTGCATTTCTAAGAAGCCGCGTAACTATGTTTTAATACAAACAGACGACCCATTCGTATAAAATGCATCCAGACAAGATATTGACGGAACTGGGCTCTAAATCTAGTCGGGAAATTCTCATGTGCAAAAATTCATTCTGCCAGAAAAGGGAGATGCAGTTTTTATAGCAAGATTTTTGTTGGCCTGGCGTTTAAATTCCCTCTCGAACTCACCGTCAGTTGCAATAGTAAATAAGGGATTATGAACGAACAGCTAAACGATTCCTAAAACACACCTCTTCTATTTTATCGGTAGCGTATTTTATGTTTTAGAGAGGTGCAGTTAAAGTATCGACTGCAAATATATTATTATTTTGCTAAGAAAAACGCGCCGTCACTGGAACAGTGCGTGTATGAACACGAGCTTTAGATCTCGTACAGAAGGCCACCATCAGGCATTGTGAGAATGCAACAATAAAGTTGCAGTTTTTGTAGTCTATTTAGCATACATAGCCAATAAAGAACCCAAAAAGACAATGTATACAAAGTGACTAATAAGTCTCAGATTCAGAATAACCATAGCAAGCACCCGATTGCGCATAAACGCTGCTGTGCTAGAGCACTATTCCAAAGCGTGAAAACGCACTTCAGTGAACCGGACTGACGAATAGGAGAACTACGGCATCCCTAGGACCAACTGGAAAGGAATGAATACCAACCAGCTTCATCAACCACTACCTCCATACACGCCCATAGAGAACAGACGGAGGAGAACCACCAACAGTCTGGCGCCCTCTGCCGTATATAAAGATTGTGTGTGAAGCAAGGGAACGTATCGTTGCAGAGCTCGGCGTTGATATCGCCCATCGTTCAACAGCTACTTCAAGTATCAAAACCATGCAAACGAAGTACCAACTAGAAGCAGGTGAGCAATCTGGTGTGGTTTACCATATCCCATGACGTGACTGCCCTTACCATTGTACAGACCAGCTCGTTAATGATGGAGTTCAAACGGACAGTCCCAGGAGGCGACCCACCGACTCAGGACGCTACTCACACAATGAAGGAAGGTCATCAAAATGGGGCGCATTACAATTGAGAAAGCACGAGAACTGCCAGAGGTCTTGGTGTCTCACACCGACTCCATCAACAAACACGTTAATATACCCCTACCATTACGCACTTCGTTCACGTGGCCAGAGGCGCAACCCAACTCCCAGCCAAGGACGCATGCCGTCAAGATGCCGTGATACGGCGTGGCGCGGCCTTATCGCGAACACAGCCCCCTCCTACATCCCTACTTTCCCTTCCTCTCTGATTAACTACGAAAACCGGACATTTTATGCTGTATTCTCAGTCTCTGATGACGGCCTCCTGTACGAGGCAGTAGGCGCACTTCAGCACACGTACTGTCCCAGTGATCGCGCGTTCATCTTCTTTGCAACAGGAATCTGGAACTTTCATATTCATTTCCATTCATATCGCAATATTTTTTGTGCTGGTCCACCCTTATGGAAGGACGTAGATATATATGAATGAGGCAAATCTTACTGAAATAATGCCAGAGGCAACTTATCTCGAGGGGTCATGCCAGTGACTTTTAACTGATTGATTCTCGTATATCCTACAAGAACGTGTCTGTTGTCACCATATTATGCCTTTTTGCAAAATATTTATTTAATCAGTTAAGTGGACCGCAACAGATTGAGCCCTGGGATAAATTGGATCTGACCAAGGAGCCAAGTGGAGACGTTAATCTGCTAACTGCCCTGAAAACTTACATTTGTCTTGCATTTGCCTCTGCACAACCGTCTGAAGCACTTGAAAAACCGCTGGGTGCGAATTGCACACTTAAAGATCCTGACAGGGTCGTCAGTCTATTGAAAATACTTCAGAGGATAGCAGAAGTAAGTACTTTAGTGTGCATACTGTATGCAAATGATATACTTTTATATATCTTAGCTGATTCAATACATAGCCGATTATTTAGACATGGAATGCGTATATATGCAAATGTAAGGTCAAGCTTAATGGGCAAATGTTAATATTTCCATTTCTTACACAATGAATTATACTTGGAGGAATACGCGTTAAATGTTTCTCCATGTAATTACGCTACACTGACTTAATTTATGATGCCATGCTGATTGCACTTTAGTAAAATGAAAGTTAAGCAGAAGTTTACAACAGAGTTCTTAAAAAACTAGGAAAGAAATATATTTTTAGTATCCTATACTGTAATTTGTATAAGTCATGTGGAGTTTAAGAGGAGTTTCACTTCGCTGGTGACGACGTGGCATTTTATATTGAATGCAGAATGCATACTCATATTGCCCAATGGATCACCGCTTATTTGTCAACTCACGACTCAAAAATACTTATTATGTTTTCTAAAATACATATAAAACTGAAAAGCACTCTCATTTTTAAGAATCGCCACATAGTTGTCTAACTGGGTCAAAAATAGTTTATTTTAATGTTACCTAAAATTCGAAAGTGCTTTTGACTAGAAAGAGTTACATCAGTGGGGCTGCAACACTTACAATCTTGCGATATAAATTCCTGATATTTGAGACACACCAGGGTGTTGGCTCTTGAAGGTACTTCTTTTCGGTCAAGTTAATACTTAAGCGATATGACATTTTTCTGATTATTTTTAACGCCTTTTCAAATCTAAAACATTCTAAAGAAAGCTTCATAAATATACAATTTTTCGTACTCAAATGGCAGTAACTCACCTCACTTTACAATTTTGTACTTGAAACGGGGTATTTTGGGATTCTCCAGGCTGTTAGTTTGCGAGTCGTATACTTTTCATGTAAGTTAACAATATATGCCTTTAAATCATTAAGAAGAAAGTATTTTAAAATAATAAAATGCTGTAAATGGTGTAAACTATGTTGCATACTTAGTGCTGATTACAATCAAATAGATAGATACGGTGCCACTTGAATGAATATTTCACGGTCTAAAAATCTCACAATCAAAAAGTTTTTAAAATCTAAGATTGCCTTTTGTCAAGGTAAAAAGTTTGAAAAAGACGTGATTTTATACAAAATAATCACAAAAAATACCTTGTACAGTTATCTTAGGAAGTAAACTTTAATTTATGAGGTCACCGAAAAGCGACGTAAAAAGTGTATATTATTTTAATGGTCATTTTGTACTGAACGCTGTTTTCGCAGGCGGTTGAAAAGAGATGCATTCAAAAACACATATCCTGTCGTGACTGAAATATTCTGAGTTTATGTTCCGTGGTTGTCATTATAACAGTCTTTCTTAGGCAATTCTTTCTACTCGAAATGGCAGTTTAGAATTTCAGTCGAGATTTTACGAGATCTGTCACTGGCTGTACTGATCTTTGAAAACTGGAATTTCCAGGCAAACGGAACACAAACTAATCAAAAATTAATAGGTGATTGTCCTGGAGGTTAACTTTTACAAACCTATTTATTGACTCTATTTCAACCGGTAAGAGAAATTTTTTGATTTTTGGGATTAAGTAAGCCCTTTGGGAAGTTGCCAACTATGAAGATAAAACTACGCTAATTTGCATAAATAAACCTAAGTCAATGGCGTCGAACCTTCATCCTGACTGATGCTTATCTGCTGTAGCCGGGTGCAAATTTGCACTAACTGGAAGCCGTTTTATATTTCAAAAACGAAATTGGCATACGCACCATATGTTTAGGCATAAAGAAATCTAGAATGTTGGAGCACATATAATGCCTCGAGCATACTACATCTAGTGTGTTCTGCGGCAGTGGACGGACGATTTGGGTCAAAAGGGACCAAGTTACGCAATAACCCGGTCTATGTTTCTAAGACATGCGTACGAATGGAAAAGGAGTAGCAGTCCTGACAAGAGAAAAGGGGCAACGGTTTGATTCTATCTACTAGCGGCAGGTTAGTATAAGACGACGATAAATCAATGGCCCATGAAACATTTGACTAAATTATCCTCCGAACGTTGAGCCAGAAGATAAAATTTCATTAAATCTCAAAACCTTTTTTGGCTATTTGCAAACTTTAAGGTTACATGTGAAGACCATTCTCCAGAAAAGCAGCTGTAATCGGCTTACATAGGATTATCCCTAAGACTTTCCACAACCCGATTCCTCCATAGAGATAAAAGTTACTTTTGAGAACTAAATCCAAAAATTATTTATTAATCCAATTTAGGAAGATAAAAGCCATCATGATACCGTAAGACGAGCTTTTTTAGACGAACGCTTTAGCAGTTGTTCATATTTTTCTAAGTGCTTTCGTCCAAGACATAACACAATGTTTTCGTTTTTAAGGTTCGGGCTCTAGAGCGTCTGCAGACGTCACTTCTACATTCCGTTGCGTTAACTGAAATTACTATCGAACGTTTGATGGAAGTCATGGGCCGCACGGTAAGCCTATGTAACGTATGTCATGACAAATAATTTCCGTATACCTTACACATTACTGAAGTCATTTGTTCGCCCGAAACAGGTAGACTTCACATTCTACTTAAGGGATCTTCTTCAAAATGTATCCATCAAAGGAAAAGTTGCCGTAATTAATCTGCATTCGTTTTCCTTGATCGGTGACTTTCTGCGTCAAGTACGAACAAGGTATGTCAGTCCGGTCAGCCTTATGCGGCTTCTTTTAAAGTGTAGTGATAGAATTTATTGCATTATATTTTGCTTCTTAAATTCTGCAAATAGTTGCATCGGAATTGCAGTGTTAAGGGATTCCTGTGCATCCATTGAGATGAAGAGGAATATCCCCTTTTCGTTGTTGGAGAATTGTAGCAAAAAAGTGCTCGCAGATTTAAATTATAATTAAGTTTAATTTACTGACCCAGAAAAATCGGCACCATATCGACAGACTGATATCCCCTGTTGTAATTGTTCTATTCGGAATTAAGTTTCAAGAATCACGGTAAATTAACTACATCAGTTTTATGCACAGTGTGTCCAAATTATAAAAGTTTATATTCCAATTATAAAACGTATCATAAAGTTTCTATAAATATCGCAAAACTGTTTTATTATGCGTTTTAGCGACCTCCAGGATTATATTACTTTCTCAATTATTCACAAATACGGCGCCGTTAGCAACACCAATCTGGAACATGCAAGGAATCGGCTCTACCGAATTGCGTATGGTAAGATACGATTTTGTCATAACACCTTCCAAAATATTCAGCTTACGTGGGTTTTATTATTGTACGACAGCATTACTTTGTGTTGGAGATTTCGGAAGGTCCAGTCTATTTTTTCTCACTTATCGATAAAAATTGTAGGAAATGTACTTTTGTGTAAAAACCATTGCTGTGGACGCGCCTGTAAATCCGTTTCACTTCAAAAGGTCTGTGCGTAAACAATAATCTAATTATGGCAACGCAGAGAATCTAAAGCTTTTGAAAAGACTGGCAGTAAAAGATTTTCTTTGCAGAAACTTGAAAAGAGCGCGTCCATATTCTCGGCAGCGCACGATCTCACGACTTTGAAGGTGTGTTGTACGGTTCGTTGAAGTACACACTGCTTTAAAACCCCATGAACTCCCATTTTTGCATTCGTCACATTATCAGTTTAATGATCATTATAAGTATTTCCATATATCTTGTTCAAACAGTTACTTAATTTGTCACTCGTACCCTCAACAAGCAGGTACGTTACGGAGTGGTCCTTTTTTCGACTGTAAGAGCTAATTGAGAAACTTTCAAAATCAGCAGACGCGCAGAACGACGTATCGGGAGTGACTGTGGATGTCGAGGAAAAATCCGAAACAACCTACTCAGATTGAGATCGAGGGTATAAGGAAACAGCATTCAACATTTAAGTTATATGTTAAGATATATTTGATTTTTTCAGTCCTCCAGCACCTCTACAAAATCAGTAACTGCAGTATTACCAAACGCTCTGGCAGTTGATATGATAATGTTATCTTATTTAAGTAAACGTAGAGTCCGATCACACAGCGGTGAGACATGTATTTTTCCTACTCTACCTCTTCAAATTAAAGGTTTTTTAATGCCTGATTCTCAGACACGTTGTATTGTCTAATTTTATTTCATAGAACAAGAAAATTTGGATTCACCTGCAATGTGCCTATGGGAATTTCCATCACCAATATGGAAGGCTCGCGTAATCGAATCTCAAATGCGAAAACTTCAACAACTGCAAATTTTGGTTTGTAGAAAAGAACAGTTATTAAAACCCTGTGGCACCGAATGAGCTGAATTTTTAACTTGTTGTTTTTAAACAATTCTGGACGGCCTTCAATTTTTGATTAAAAATTAGTGCGTTTATAGATTCCTTTGTGATTCACTTATGGTATCCTATTTTTCTGTACCTATAAACCAGAGCTTGCTTCCCTAACGTATTTGTGTATTTCATTACAAAATTTTCGAGCGTCTAGCTGGACGCTTGTTTTTTACTTGTCGAAAAATTGTACTGTCAAATTTTGCTTTTCATACTGTCAATTTTAGATAAAAGTGTACATCCTGCCACAGCTAAAAGAGGCCTTCACCAATTTTGTCAACCCGGATGTGAGCAATCCGCTCTTATCAAAACTGGTAAAACATCACTCTATTTATTAAAAAGCCATTCTTCCTTGTAGTTTATTTTATCTTGTTGGAAGATGAGAACAGGACTTTTCAAATACTGCATAATTATCTTCCTTATTTTTACGCCACTCTGTTGCTTAAACCACATGCTCATTAATATATTTAAAATAACAGGGGACTATTAGATGCTTGTTAAGAAATCTATCCAACTAATATGAGCGTCTTATTCATAATGTTCTCTTTGCAATCTACTTCCATTTTTGCCCCAGAACGTGCCCATTGGATTTCCTAATCGTGCAAATTTTTCGTAAACAATTCACTTCAATGCATACAAATTGTGCTAAACACACAGCTACTATCATCATTTACCCCCACCAATATACTTTGGGAAGGTCTTATTCCTAAGTGTTTTTGTGGAAGCTGCGTTAAGTGTCATAAAAAGCATTCCGGAAGGCTTCAATATGAGTAGTGCACATTGTTTCGCAATACGCAGGCGACAGTGAGTATGAGTCGAGCACTCAATGTTTACGTACATGCCGATAGATAAACACTGGTTTCCGCTGTCTAAACTGCATTTTTTACGGACACGGACCTCCCACTTGCTCAGGAAATAGGTATGAATCAAATATTAATTTCTATAGATGGACATATTTCGCATAAGTATGGTTGACTAAGGCTACAGAAACCTAGAATGACTGTTTACGAATGCGTTAAATCCGTCACGTTTTCATTAAACGTGTGTGTATTAAGAGCGCCTGCTGTATGTTGGCACATCATCGCCTTCATCTCGAAAGATTCGCCGTCTTAGTGCGTGCCTACTGGCAGTTCAGCAAATGGAGGTATTTTCTAGACCTAATAGTGACTTCTTTGTATAGCTGACAATCTTAAGAGGAAAGCTATGTATTTAACTCTAAGTCCGGAATATGAACTCAGGCTTTTTTGTACTGAGCAAAAATTCGTTCCAAAATTTTCGAGCGTTTGTAAACCGCATTTTTAGTTTTCGTCAAAAGCTGTATGCAAGAACTTTGTTGTCGTTAGAGCCATACATGCCGACGTCATAATCGCTATTTTGTCCACATCGCGAATTATTTCGCTTGGTTTTGCTGAAAACAACATGTATTAGCAGCTTATACCAATACACTATCACAAATCGGTCCCTCACAACTGATGTGGCATGGCTACGCTAGCAGTAATCGAAAAATTATTTTTGGACAGCCTTCTCAAATAACGTTGCATACGATCGTATAATATTCTTTGTTTGCTTCACTTCCCAGTGCGACATCAGCCACTTGGACACACTCGAAAACTGCGCAGCCATTATGTTTTGGGAAGCATAGCCAAAAATTAACGTAAATTCTAAGTTTACTACTCTTTTTTAGATCTACTAATCTGTCATTACCCATTTCGTATTCCCCATAGATAGCATCAATTTCGCTGAAAAACCCAAAAGAATGCTCGCCGAAATCTGATGACCTGGAAGAATATTTCTGTCAGGCAAGCGTATTAAAACTGCTGAATATGGCATTGCACAAGTGAGTTCTAAAGAGGAGCCTGGTAATATAATGTCCAGCCTTATAGGAACGACAGCAAAAATAATCCGTTCTCCAATTAGAAATCAAAGCCTGACAAAAACAACCACTCTTAATTCCTATTTCTTACGAAGTTTCCGAAAGTCCTAAGATTTTCAGGCATCAAAAAAATCTGTTAATTTAGATTTCGCTTTTATCGGGAAACTGTAAGCTTAAATATAGGGGAAAAAATACGACTTACAAAAGCATATCCAAACCCTGTGATCAAGTAAAAATTGCAACTGTGGTATTATTAATGTTGTACCATACAGGCATCCTGAAGACTACATTTTCTTCAATGGTTTCTGGGTGCTGTGAGTGGCCGGCGTTTAAAAATTAACGCAAATAAGACAAGGGAAAATTAGTTACAGTTAAGTAAGTGTCTTACAAAAATTCTGAAGGGAAAAATAACTATGAATGGAAAACGATAGGGGAAATCTGAATCATGTTAAAGAAATTGGACAAACTGTTTCTAAGTTACGAATATTCTCATAGCAGCAGCCAGTAGACATGGGGGAGATCATACGCAGCTTTCGATAAATCGTCCACGGTCCAGTACAATTATATGGGAACGTAGTAGAAGCAAAAACGTGTCAATGATAAGAGAAATCAATTAAAGCCCGTCTTACAACAGAGACGGGGTGTGGGAATGTGGGATGGGGAGTAATGGCAGCCACTGCCAGGGGTGAAGTGATGGCAGAAGTGCGCGGAGAGTTGCAGCGTTAGTCGACCTTCGACCGCTGTGGGTGCGGAGCCTAAAAATGGTTCTTTTGTGCGCACAAGATTGGTTTTCGTAAGTTGCTGACGGTCGCTTCTGCTGTTTCTAACATGTTCTGATCCAGTAACTCGATGGGACCTTATTACTCACACGAAAAGCTTTGTCGGGGTCCACACGATGTCCGGAATCAATAATATGCGTGGGAACAGCGCTGCTTATACTTCTAATTTCGCCTTTTCCTAGCCATGCCGGGAGTTGTTTTCGTCTTTTCTTGGATAGGCGCCGACACGTACGACCATAATAACCTGTTCCACAGGAGGAAGTGAAGGAATGGATGCACACTGAGGCGGTCTGAGATGGAAATTAATCCATACCTTGGCCGCATAAAATAGGGTTAGTAGAAAACTATATTCGAAACCTTGCTGGTGGGAGGGTTCGCCAGACGGCATGATCAAGGCGTCTCACGGGGAGGTTCACTCTAGGCGTCCCCTTGAAAAGAAACTTTGAAAGACACAGTTTTTTTCAGCAGCCCGTGTACTGGTTTTTACCGGTCGATCGACAATATTCTTTGCATTAAACCTACCAAATAACCATTTTCGCGGAACAAGTTCTGGATTTTTGTAAGCTCTTCCTTGATGCTATTTGCTGAATAATTTTTTTTAGCTTTTTGTGCCAAACACAGGACGAGATTTCGCTTTTGCTGGAGGGGTACGAAACTGGCAAAGTTCGTGTATTGTCCAGGCCAGGTTTTTTTCGGACAGACGTGCATTTGGATGCTACAGTCAGGTTTCCTGTTTAGAGGGACATCTATGAAAGGAATCGAACCAAGCTATTTCGATCTCCAGCCTGAATTTTATCCACGGATGTGCTTGATTTACAGAACGTAAGAGGGTAGCTATGTCGGTTTCTGCGGTGGCAATTACAAGGATACCATTAGCTTAGCGACCGTGATGCTTGAGCTTATCGATCTGATCACTCAGATGGAATCCCTTCAGTTTGTCCATGAAGACATCGTCTAGGAGAGGTTAAAGATGCGAGCCCACAGCAACACCAGCTATTTGTCTACAGCGTTGGTTGTAAAAAGCGAACTGCACATTTCGTATGCATCTTAGTTATAGTTCCTTAAGTGTGTTCATTTTTCCAACTCGATTCCTGACTGTCAATATGCACAAAAAATGGGAACTACAAAACAAGTATTAGCTAGAATTCCAAACATAAAACATGGCCCATTGACACAAAATAATTAGATTTGCATGGATGAACTTTCGCAAACCATATTATAACTATAAACGCATTTTGACTTTAGAATCCTCACAGAATGAGGACATCAGAAATTCAGCGAACCGTTGAATACAATCAGTTTTTGGTCAGAAAGAATCGTGCTCATAATCGCTGTCACCTGCTTCAAGATGTGGGGTAATTCGAATTTTCCTTTATTTGGAGTTGATATGTTTGTCATTTCCGGTTTAAAGATATAAAAAAGCAGGTCTTATGTGACAGGCAGGTCTGTCGTGTCACAGTATGTTCTTCTAACAGAACAAAGGAGAGCAGATATTTGAAAAATCATTCAAGTATTTTCAACGTCAGACATATTTTCTATTTTTAAACATATTTGCTTAGCAGACTCTAATAAGATGGTTGTTTGTTAAATTACCCGAAATAGCAGACGTGTTCAAACATTTGAAAAATCTCCTGTCAAATGGGAATCGACCAAAGTACCTCATATAAGGAATTATAACATACATTGCCCAATTTTACGCAACATGGAAGTAAAAAAAATAATATTGGGTTTGTTAAGACCAAAAATATCCCTAAAGAACGGAAATTTTAACAATGCAACACACCTTTGTAGAGGAATGCGTCTTATTTGCAGGAGCACATAATGACTGCGTGTATTAACAACTGAGTAAGCAAAACGGCACAAGCATGACGCCATTTGAAAACTTTTTTGATAGTCCTCAGTCCAGCATCTCCCAATACTCATTGTGGCCTACGAGATAGCAACTAGTACCTGTTGAAGGTCTGCTAACATATTTCAGAGCGATGTTATATTACTGTGGTGCGGATGCTTCACTTTTCTTATCAGGTGTGCGGTTGACTAAGACGGACATGATTTGGCTCATGGAGGGAACTATCATCGAGACCAAGATTTCATAATGTCCATTCCGAAAGACATTGGCACAAAATCAACAGGTGTATCCGTTGATATACTACTTTCTGTGTATAAAGGAGGACATTTTTCCGTAAAATCCCCATTTACTTTCTGAAAGCAGTGGAGTCCGCAGATGCTTAGGGCGGCAATGGAATGTAGGTAAGTACTTTACGGCCCTCAGCGCTCCCAACACATAAGGATCAGTTCAGTGGTTTGTGTTTACCAGTATCTTTATAAGAAGACAGGTCTTGACTTTCTTCTGCAGGAGTAAGATTCTGGAGTTTTTTGTATGCAGAAGGCGCTTTGGGTTATACACATTGATTCGCCTAAGCAGGGGATATGTTTGCCAAAATAATAAATGCCTACAGCGGAGGCTTTCAATGCACGCGCATTTGACCACATAAGAACCTTATATAACAAGCCATCTCTCCACAAAGTTCATTACTAGGGCATTTTTCTAACGAAACGGAATGTGTTTCGGATTTTTTAAAGTAAAACTAGGTAAAATTTAAAACATGTTCCCTGATTGTGCATCTTCATGAGCAATGTAGATACTTGTTGTTGCAGACGAAACTCTTTCTTAATTTTATAATTGTTCTGATTTTTTATACTACCGTTTGTGGGAAGGTAATACGGAATGATCGCATGCATTCTCGAACGAGCAACGTTACGTCTGTTTCGTTCTCAAATTACATATTTGTAGACAACACATCAAGAGAACGGCACCTTACCATATCCAGAAAGGTCTGAATAGCTACCTGATTGTGGTTCCTTTGCAATCATTCTTGGAATACTTAAAAACCTCTTAAGGTGTGGATTTTCCAAAAACAAAACTTCTATTTATAATAGAACATCATGGCACATAATTTCGCTGATTAACGAACCAAACCTCAAAGTTGAAGGTAACATCCATCACATAAAAGTAGTTGGCCTATTAATCTCTCGTATCTCAGAATTATACGGGTTAAGAATTCAACGCTTAAGCTAAAGACGGTTGTTTCGGAAAGCGTTATTCTTTTGGATTAAACTTTCTGCCAGAAATACCGGTCTAAACGAGGAGATGTGTAGCAAAGTTAATAATAAGGGGGATGCCGATAAATAATGCAAAAATGTAACCTCACCGCTGATACAATATCGGAAAAGAACAGACAGCGATAATTTACTACAGAGGATTCTCGATGTTTGAAGTCTCTCCAAACGTTTTTTCTGATTCCTGCCATAACGTTTCTGAAATATGTTCACCCATGCCCTTTCATTTTACATACAGTGTTTTGTAAGTTTAGTCGCCTATGTCATGCGCCTAACTAAATGCATTACTTTGTCATTTTGTTGTTTAACCACCTTTTATTGATGTCAAGCGCATGTGTGATCGCCGACTGTTAGATGCTAAATGGGACCCGCAGAGAATGTCTCCGTTTGAATTTTTAAAACAGGTCTTCTAAAGATGACATAGTTTCACTGTTTGCGAACACCTCATAGATCGAATCTCACCAAATATTGACCGAAAAAAACCAAAATAAGCCTTTGCTGATAGTATTGTACCCATGTTATTTTGCAGTATCACCTTCGGTATTACCATGGTGGGCTAGAGAAAAGGATTTATTTCGGTTTCAAATCCCTTTATCTTTCGCAAATGCACTCGCACTAAATAGTCTAGAACAGATGGTCTTTATTTATTTATATTTATTTATTTGTTTATTGATATTTATTTATTTATATTGCTGTTCATAAGATAGTATTATCATAGTTTTGTACATACAGACATTTTAAGTTACATGCTTTAAACATATAGATATGAAGCCACATCGATGATTACTGGCAGACCTCATATTCTTGCAGTTACTAATTTTGTCGGACATTCCGAATGAGTCCTGAAGAGAGAAATTGAATCAAGTAAAATTATGAAATTAGTTATTGTTTTTATGTCCTTTTAAGCAAAATGCTCAATAGTATGTAAGCAATTGGCATCAACAAAATTTGGCAAGCTATTTAAGCTATTTCACAGAGCGTAATTTACGCGCGTAACCTAAAAACCCCCAGTTTTAGGTTCGCATGAGCCTTTTTATGCAGTTTAAAAAACCTTGTCCATGTTAATCAGTATTGTACCAGCGCTCCAGCATGTTTTCTGTCTGAAATCATTTTCAATACATCTGTACAATGCTGGGCGAATTTTCACTCATACTGTAATTTTGGTTGTAATTTCAATTTCACGTTACGTTTAGTAGAAAGAAAGAGTTGTTCAACAGTTTGGCGATTCTTCGGAAATTGCCAGCAGCGATCTACTTATGTCTTGGGTTATATGGTGATCTAATGGATATTATGCTTCCAATTCCACTAAGACCCAAAACGCCCTTTTACTCTCATCACTCAAAATCAGCACATTTAAATGGAGGATCTCCAAAGGTGCATCGCTCATATTACTTAACGGTTTCAACGAAGGCCAAATAACTTACAGTACTTTAGTACACTGCCTCTAAACGAGAACTGAATTATTTAATTTTTCCGCTGCAACCGGGCAAATGAGCGAAATAGTCTGATTTTCTTTTTTTTGTCATATCATGTTTTCAGTGATCGATGAAATACATAGTAGAGACGCTAGCGTAGAACGTTTCAAAGAGCTTTGATTTAAACTTTTTGTCGGTTAATTATTCCACGAATATGTCAGAAAAATCTCTCAGACAAACTTTTTTGAATACTGAAGTAACATTTTGTTTCTAAAATTTTTGCACCAGGGCATTTTCCTCTTCAAGGACGTCAGGCAGAATGCTTTCGCACAGCTGACTCTTTTTTGCTTCCTAAGTAATTATATCCTTCGAAGACCTTAGAAATGCCAAAGTTGTAATTATTTTCCGTATTACGTACAATGTGTGTCTCATTTATCTAAAGCATGTTCAGTTGTCATATGTATATTAATGTACAGGCATGGCGGTGAATAATCAACTACTTGCATTTTTAAATACTTGAAAGATTGTTTTTACAACCTTGTGGATGTAAGTAATTTTACAAGCGTTCACACAGCTCCCTCCCTATATCATGTTCATATTTTGTCCCAGGCTTAGTTATGAATTTTAATAGGCGTCAGATGCAAAGTCATCGTACAACGAGCTTCAAAACGGGGGGTCAGTGTACTGCAGCCACCTTCGGTGATTATGCAGGCATGTTGCTTACCTATCATTAATCGGCTAGTCGAATAGGTACCCCCATGCATCTTCCGTTTTCATATGTCCTTTACAACCTGCTTCAGACTCTGTACCTACGGAAACGACCTGATCGGGTATCAAAGCGAAAAACAGTTACTCGGTACGAATTCCACATATATTTTATTTCGTATTTGCGTAGCATTTTGGTTGTACATGCATCACAAACACTGCAAAAATGCATCTGGCCTTTAGAGGAATGCGACAGTCATAGCAAATTGAGACATGCCACTTGTGAATACCTTTCGTTCTTAACTGTCGGCTTTAATTCAGTTTGCGGCAGACTGTACGATATGTTAGATCATCAGGCAGTTCAAGTCACTAATAGCACTCCCATTCAATTCGTTAATATGCGAGAGTGAAAACAATGAGCTTCACTTTGAAACATGGATTCAACAATTTTAGCAAAAAATGCTGTATGCACTGTGGACGATATATAAGTTAACAAGTTACTCAAGAGTCAAAAGGTGTTGCATAGAAAGGTACATGTATATAAAAATATGTGCATTTGTTCTCTTATATGAGGCACGGTTGACAAGCAACTTGGACTTTGTCTTGACCTCTAAAAACCTGTATTAGTTTCAAATTCCAAAACATTTTCCCAGTCGACCAATGTCTGACCATTTTACTGCAACGTGAACCGGCAGACGTCCCTAGAAGAGATTAAAAACACGTGATAATCTGTACGTGTAACGGTTTACTTTATAAAACTCGCCCATATAAATTCATGATCGGGTGGCAAGTCCGGTTGGTATGATATTAATGCCTTATTTGGACAGGTCATTCTGCTAATCAACTGAGAAAATTATATTATTTCCTTAAGCTACAACAAATTCCATAAAAAATCAAACTTTGGTACCAATATTTAAATTTTCCACTTAATAATTACAAATCCTTGGCGCTTCGAAAAATTCCGTCTGTCCCACCAACATGACTCTTAACATTTGGAGTTAAACATTGCCCCAGTTAACAAAACCACACAAAACTCTGTCGAAAGGAGAAGTTTTCTTATGGCGTTTTGAAAAAGATTTAAAAATCTTATCTCTTACTGAGTACATGTGACCGTCGCAATGAGACCTGCGTCGGAATAATATTTTAATTAAGCATAAATTATGCTTGCATGGACCAGTAATTTATTTACTCCGATCTCATTTGACGATTCATTACAGTTTAAGACTTTTCAAAAGAATAGTAATTTGATTTATTTAAAGCTACAGAGAAGGAAGCAATTAAGGCTTTAAAAATACATCCGATCACAAATCTAAAATGTACGGAAAATTAAAAAAGGGGATTCTAATTTATCAAAACGGATCGAAAAAAAGTAAAAGTAACCTGATGGAAGTTTTAAATTATTGTTAATGATGAGAGGGGAATATCAAGATAAATGCTCGATAACTGCAATGTTTTTACGGTTTTTTGGTTTCTTACGAGGGAAGTTCCCCAAAAATATCATTGTGAGGTAATTTTCCACATCACGAATGAGGGAGGACTGCTTCAATGTTAACTTTGTTGACGCTGCATTGTTGTAGATGATCGGAGTTATTTAGGTTATTTAAGGTAAATTAACCTAACCTACCGGATGAGCCTTTTATTGCTGCGGTTACGCCTGCGAACGAGGGCTTTAGTCAGGGACCTGCAAGATGTGTGTTAATAGATAAAAAAATCCCAGTCTGGAAAGTACTTGTTGAATTCGGCTTTGGGTATTACAACCCTACAAGCTCAATATCATTGTAAAAATCGTAGCACTTCATAGATACTGCTTACAAATATTCCAACTTCTCCAGAAAAAACACTATGCAAGCCATATATTTTTGATTTTTCTGAATTTATGCAATTTTAGTGCCATCCTTGCTGTTTACGTTTGATCAACGAGTCGATTATTCGGGAAAAGCGCCAAGGTGAGTCACACCGTAGTTGAATGCCCTTCTGGATTTTTTCTAACTAGGAGGCAAAGCGGAACTAAATTGGAAAGTTCAGGTTCTTCATCTACTTTACATAAGGACAGGACAGTAAACGTATATTCCAACGATTATTTTCATTGCCGGAAAAATCTGGGAATCTTGCGGGATCTCATAGAGGCATAAAACTGGATGCTTGAAGTACTATTATACTTCAGGCTTTTCGGTTGCTTAGGACTATTTATTTTCGGCTACCATTACATGCATGGTATCATATATAAAAATTATTGTATGACACAAAGAGAAGGGACTATGCGAATACTCTGACGTATGCCCATGGTGAAGCCCAGTACTAGTTGTCATGCATTTTGATACAGGTTTCAATCCAAGCTTCCAAATCGTCATCTGTTGAGTGCTCTAAACTATGAAGCTGGTCGCACAAGGCGGAGACACGAAACTTCTTAACAAAGCAACTAGCAACCAAACGCATACAAATTTCGATTTTATTCAAACGTCTTTTCTGTTTCAACCGCAGTTACAGTGCATTAGAATGCAGACATACAGGAACGAGAGCAATACATTCCGAGTTTTAGTGAATTTGTACTTCATTTGTGCAAACCTGAAAGAGAGTCGTTAGGGCACAGACAAACATAAGTCTACGTAGGTTATGTTAAGAGCAAGAAGGCGAGCTGTCACATCGAAATTATATATAACAGTTTGGTATACTGCCCATCTGCCTGAATAGATTTAGATTTATGGGCTGCCCGAAGAACACTGGGAGTCTAACTGTATCCTTACTACGTTTTGTGTATAGGTCTCGCAATATGTCAATCAAACCGATATGTTCCATAGATCATATTGGAGTTTAAGGGCAGATGTCACCTTGACCTATCTATTATTAATTTGACTTAATTTTGAAAACCCTGGCAGTCTCGATGGCGTTCGAACCCACGAGGGCAAGCACGAGGCTTTGTGCGTTTAGGCTGCTAGGCCTCGTGGAAACGCCGCAAGGTGAATCAGGCTGGGTTAATTTACCCGCCCAGCGCATTGCAACGTGTGGAATCCGCCAATTCTGATACAGTAAACTCTCTGTCCAGCCAGAATTTCTTAACCGTTCAATTTGGAATTCACCAGATGACTAGAAGGCTCGCTTAAGTTCTGTGTGGTTATTTGACGGATTGACAAAAGGCATCCATAACCGGAAAACGTAGTCCTATTTATCAACTGTCTGAAGTAGACGACTGTTCCATTAACTATGACACTTCCAGACTCTCACTGCATGAGTCAAATCAGTTACATATAATACTAAGTCTCCCTGCTTTCGAAAACCATTGGTTTACAGAGTTGGAACCATCAACACCTGATGTTTTAGGAGCAAATATCTAAGAAGACATCTGTTACTCACTGAAAGAGGGTTGTAAGAGCAACTTATTTGTCTTTAAATTAACTATTGTCGTCCTCAGAAGCAATAATTTCATCCGTTGACTTCGTTTAAAGAAATTCCAAAACACTAAGGTTGTTTGTTGTGACGACGGAGAATTTAACACATATGCCTTTTATTCACTGGAAGATGGCCCATATTTTGTCATTAAAATGTACTTGCTAGACTTTTGTTCAAGCAAAATTCTACCGGCCTTTTTAAATGTCTTGGTAACAGCTTGGTCCATCATACCTTTATGAGGAAATTTTGCCCCTCACAAAACCAATCAGAATGCGATCGCACGATCAGTTTGCTCTAATTTTAACAGTTGTATCTGACAAAGACGATCCACGGTTGGTCAAACGGCAAACTGTGTTTACAGAATAGACATCCTGAAGCCTATCTATACATCCTATGCTAATAAGCTAAATCCTCCTTCAGGGCAGATGGCAATAGGCCGATATCGCATCGTGGTTTGAAAAAGCTACAGTTTGGCTTATTTACCTTAATAAATGAATAAGGTGGAAACGAAATATCGTCCGGGTCTTTGGACTGACGTACTTTCCCCAAGAATCACTCGCTGCAGACGTTGCGTCATCTGATTAATTAAAGAATTGAATGAAGTTTTAGAAAACACGAGACAATATGCTGGTGGCTAAACACATCCCGGTATACAAGCATTTATGTTTCTTTCGATTGCACACGTCTAAAATGGAAAGACTTCTCGTTCCTAACTGAAAGTATCTATCCGGGTTATGCAAAACGCATTAGCGAAATTGCCGTCAAACTCCGTCCCATGCCCTAGCATTATAGTCATTAGAATATTGTGGCTGGTATAGCAGCAAAAATCATTCAGAACACTTCGGTCCTGATGACTTAATGGAAAGGAGGTGCAGAACCTGGTTTTCTTGATTATGACATAGGAGGTTTGGCCCATAAGACAGGCCAACGACTGAGCGACTATAAGTATTTAAACTGAATAATGCTGACAAGATTGTTAGGGCCAACCGTCTTTCCAGAAGCTGACAAGGTTGGTCAATATTAAATGTACCAACCCAACTGCTGTAAATGAATTGCAAAAGATTAGAAAAGCACCTGTGCTTAAAATGATGATTCCGCATGAACTGTGATGAGAAACGTTAACAAATTGTCAATTATTGCTTAACCGCCATCTTCATAAAAACTTTATAATAGGCTTGTTACTGGGGACAATAATTAGGTTCTTTGCTACTACGTTAGAGGTCACCATCAGAGTGTCTTTCGTGAAGATCAATCAGTTCGGCAGTCAGAATGGAGTTTTTATCCCAAGAAAACCGTTTTGCGACTGTGGTGGGCTCTACAAGGGATCGTTCTCCATAACCTGTTAGATAATAATTAGAGAATTAATCCTGATATATATTACCAGCAATCTTGCTGTCCAGAAACCGCTATACAAAGCAAATATCCACCTCCAGTGCAAATGGAAAGGAATCGTCTTCCGCCAAGAAAATATCCATCCCCACAGTATACATACTACCAATAATCTGCCGCGGTAATTTGGCTGAGAAAAATGAGGCACTTATTTATTTCTCCTAATTTGTACCTCCGAGATATAATGCGCCCAGATATTTAAAAGAGAATTTCGTCGGCCGAGATTGGCGTCAACTAAGGGGTTGAAATAATACAGTCTGTAATTTTTCATAAAATTCTAGGGCAGCTAGCAAACAAAGCGTCTCCAAAATAACTGAATTATAGTGCAGAAACCGCTAGAAGGTATACTTATGACTAAATATATCCATTAATACTGATAATTTGTATTTATTATACATGATAACAAAGACAATACTTTCGTTTTAACTCGCAATGCTATTTCCATGAGGCACGATGTCAGAGTTGGAGATAGTGATGTTAATTTTTCTGTTAGCAGCCGCAGTTCTATTCCTAATCTAAGAAACCTTTTACGGCATAATTGCTACTCGTCATGCGTTTTGACGTATGCTTCAATGCTGTCTACATCAACCTCCCTTATTATATACTTATGGTAATTCAAAAAGACAAGAATTACACGTCGACATTTGAGGACGGCAAATAAATTACTGCACTTTCTTAAATCCAATCTCTCGTAGATTGACGGATGTTAAATGTTTTCATATCGATAATGCCCACGTTACCCTATTTACTAGCATACGTATCAAAACCCTTTAAATGTTCTCCTTTTCCCTGCCATAAGCCAGCGAGCAGAGATACTTACTGGATCTGAGACCTTATACAAGTAAATAAGACAGGCATTTAAAGACCAAATACAAACCCATTTCCCATCAACTTCTATAACCTGGGGCTTAGAAAGAGTTAAGTACAAAGTTCTCCGTATATAGGGAACGAAGCAATGGTAAGTTAACACATACTCATTGCAGACGTTCTGACAGCTGTATATCTTTCACCCAAACATCCGATTATTTTACTATTTGCTTTAGGTTCGTTAATTTTGCAACTATCGGTTACCATCTGTCCCTCGGATTATCGGAGGCCATTATTAAAAACGGTGCGTCACGTAGATTTATGAGTTTGATTTTTCGGCATAGGCTTTAAAGGTGCGCTAAATTATTTTGTTCAGTGAGGCTTGCAGAAAACTTTGCGTGCATATGCTCAGTATGTCAGGATTTCGGAATAATGCAACAACATCATACCGACTTCGTAAACAATGACTACTTAATTGATGCGAATTTTTCCCATTGATTTTCGATGCCCTTATAAATTCAAATATACTTCGTAAAAAATGTGCATAAAAAATATTCGTTTTTTTTACTCGTTTGACAGGAAACTGCATTGTCTTCAAAGTTTATACTTGAAGGAAGGGTATTATTTGGTTTTAAAAAGTTTCTTACCATGAGATTGTTGAAGACAATGAAATGCTTGTTCATAAAACATCGTGTCTCTGCATTCACTAGCGCTTCTTGTAAAGTTCACGACAAGACCCAAATCCACTGTCAAATTTTATGAGCTCCCTATGCTTTCCTCTTAATGACGTACAGAAATGTATGATTTTCAGTATATGAAAAATATGCAGCTTTTAGTTCGAAGACCCCGAATGCAAGCGTAAAGGCCGGTCGAGTTCAAAATATTTCAGGAATTGGTAAGTTGTTTAAAACTAAGTTATACTCTTCCTCTAAGTACAAACTTTAAAGAAAATACAGTTTCCCGCCAAATAAATTAAAGGACGTATATTTTATGCATGTTTTCTACCAACTATATCTGAATTCATAAGGGCATCGGAAATCAATGAGAAACATTCGCACCGCTTAAGTAGTCATTGTTTACGAAGTCCGACAGGCGACCGGAAGGAAGCTCATTCAAAAGACGGCAATCCGAGGCAACTGAAATATTTTGGGATTATACCGCAAAACGATTAATATAACAACCCTACTTAAGTAAATATTTCCGGTCGGAAACGCATTTCAGAATTTTGGTAAACATTTCATGAGTCGGCACATTTACTGTGTATAGAAGTCCGCTAAGGGTACTTTTAAAAGTCGTTTCAGTTGATTGACAATCAGCTAGGTATGCGGCGGTTTTGACTAGGACTATATTTTGAACCAAAAAACAAGTGGAAGAAAAGCTCCTCATGGTGAAACCCCCAGTTTTGCATAAGTGCTTGAGCTAGAATTCAAATATGTCCTCCTACGCTTATTATCTACAGCATCTAATCACCTCTGCTTAGTATGTATTCCCACTTTTTATTTGCGCGCCGTACCAACAACGTAAATAATTAACAAGAATCAATTTATAGCGATAGTCTACATTCACCTTATCTGCCGCATCCTCTTCTTCACCCTCCTGGGCCCAATCGCCAGATTAAGTCAGGAAGGTCGTGGGCGGAATCAGGTGTAGTGGCGGACAAAGCTGGACGGATCATCCACGCCTATCCCGTAAAATGGACCAGGAGTTCAGCGAAAACACTGAGGACGGTCAGGATACCATCTAAATACGAGCGCCCTAGAGACTACATTAAGAGAGAGCCATTGTGAAATGGCTTTCCGCCCTGAGAATAAGCGGCAGCTTTCCGATTTATGACATTTAGCCATCGTGATGGTTTGAGGGCGCGTCAGATTTTTTGTAGTGCGGAAATGCGCTGAACTGTCATAGGGCCAGACCCTAAAGTAAATCCTTCTCTCACTCCCCTCTCATATGCACCACTCGGCTGTCAAACCTGGGATTGGGCGTAAATGACGGACGTAGTTAGGTACCCGTCTAAAGGGTGCCACACACGGCCCAACCCCCACACAGCACGCCAGCTTTTTACAGAGGAGTAGGCCGGTCGGATTTTAAATGCATGAAAATGATATAGAGGTCATGTCACAAAGGAACAGTTAAGTCTGACGTTCAGTCCACTTGCTGGCCAAACTTCAAACACCGGATCGACTGCGAGGTCTGAATTATACAGTCGGTTGTCAACATTACCAGCCACTGTTTTCAATCGATCGTCGGGCTCGTCAGATACATCGTAGTGAGGAATGCGCTGAAGTGCTGTGGGGATGGAGCTCGCAAGGTCGGACTCACTCTCCCCTTTCTATCCCCTGCGCCAGTCGAGAGGTTGAGCCTGCCGGCCATACGGTGATGGGATTGGGCGCACTGACCGACGGAGCTGCAGCAGTCCGTTCACGTGTGCCACAAATAAACTGGTCGGCACCGCATTGCAACAAAGTACATATTTTGACTAACTCGATAGGTCCATGTTTATTTCGTTTGTCGAGTAAAGCAGGGTCGGTTTTTGTGTGATGTGTGCTCTGTTGGGGAGATGTGTGATCATAGTGTTTTTTCTTCTGCAACGTATTATGGCAGTATTTCATGGAAGCGCATACTGTCGGATGTGCGTAGGCAATGCCAGAAGTTGAAGCTAGGGAAACAGGTGTATGTTGGCACCCCCAGCGTCGGTTCAACAATTTTACTACGATGAGTCCGCTGGTGACCGACTATGCCGATGCGTGGTGTGCCTATGAGGTAGACATATGGGTAGCACATGTTGATAGCTGCCAAGTTTGCGGTGACGGATAGGTTTTTAGTGGTAACAATGTCGACTATGAAGGAGTTGGTAGTATTGGTGACTAGGGAGTTTTCGGGTGTACTAGGTAGGTCGACACTGCGTGAATTCTGCTTTTGTGGATCCGTATGTGTTCGAAAAGACCCATATGGTGTCCTGATGTTTCAGGACGTTTTGCACAGGTGATGCGCGTTTGACATGTGCGTCAAGACACCGGACAGTGGTTTCTCAGCCCCAGCGCTGCGTATTTGGATGTGACAGATCAGAACTGTGCGTGATTTGGAGGTGTGATCTCAAAGCAGACAGTTTGGAAATGAGCCCGAATTGTTAGTGGCGGGGCACCGCGGGTGGTCTCACCTGTGATGGGAGTGGTGGTGCGTTGTGGTACTGATGGCAGAGATTGTGTTGGGAGGCGGGATGATGATAGTAGTCCCCGTGGACGTCATGAGAGCCTGCGGTATGGGGAGACTGTGAAAGTGTTTTCGGGGGTGGGAGACTGAGGGGACGTGCTATTACCGCACTTGCCCTGAAATGCCCGGTGAGGCCGATCCGTGCTCGGAATGTCCACCGATAGTCTGGACACCACGAAAGGAGATAGCTGTTTGAAGCTGTTGGTCCACGAGACTCGAGAGCCGTCGTTCTTCTAACTTTGGGAGACGTAATCCGGTTGGCTTCGTAGATAACCACTCCAATCTTCACTGCTCTTTCGTAGACCGGGTGGTTCTAGGTAGGGTCCGCGCCTAAGTGCCGTGGGGATGGAACTCCCAAAGTCGGCCCCGTTTTCTGTATTCTTTCCAATGCACCAGTCGGCGGTCCGGGCCTATCAACCAACCAATGATTAATTTGGGCGCAGTGGCTGACAGTGCTAATCAAGTCATTCCAGCTACGTTAACGAACCAGGAGTGACCCTTTTATGTACCAGGATACATCTGTGCCGAAGTGTTAGACTAACTGACGTTTAACGTTGTCGTCCCGTTAAAGAACATGGTTCGCACATTGGCGTGATGTACATGTTCTCGTATGTGAAATTGAGCCGGCGAAGTGGATCACATGCCCAAATATATATACATATATTGTATTATAAAAATTATTGTTACTTGATGTAGCACATGGTGTGGAGGAGGTTCGTATGTGACGTAGGGATGTGGGAACAACTTGGGTAATGTGTGATAATGGGGTCAGGTGTGCGTTTTATTGGAGATATACACGAGGTCTCACATGGGCAAATAGGGTGATGCGATGACCATATGTACTAAGGCAGTGCTGGCAGCTAGAGAGGATGCGATGGGAGTATACTGGGGCCTCTGGCGCAGTAACTCAGTTTCAGTAGGATGGAATCGCAAGCGTCCGACCAGACCGATGTGTTATAGAAATGCGCGGTGGCATTTAGGATAAAGCTAGACAGGCCAGTGAGCCGGCGGTGTGTCGAACCTGATGGCGGTGGAGTTGGTAGTGCTGGTGGTACAGGAAAGTTTGGGTACAGGGGCAAGTCTGTGGTAATGGCATTTTGGGAGATTCCGCTGCCACGGATACGCATATAGCGGATTTGATATATACGGTGTCGGAATGTCTTGAAACATGGTAGGCAAATGAGGCGTGTATGGCGGGTGTGTGTCAGGGCCACAGGCACTGGCTCTGTGATCTATATGTGATGTATTCGCAAATGAACGATCAGGTCTTTGCGTGATGTGAAGGCGCGGTCACAATGAAGACCGACTGGAATTGAGTCCCAATGGGCAATGATGACAACGGTTTGGAGGCCGATAAGTGTGGCCGTTAGGTGTTTCTGGTGATGGCAGTATGAGTTGAAATAAGAAGCAACTTGGCTGCTTTGACATTCCACCGCGTCCACAGACGTTCATCGAAGCAGTCTGTGTCCGGAATGTCGGTTGACAGTGTTGACACGAGGATAGCAGTTGGGTGGCGGTATCGGTGTTCCGTAACACTTGATCTTTACGTGTCTGTCAGCCCTGGCAACGGCTATTCAGTTGGCTTCGAGGATCGCTACTCCAATCCGTACAGCAGAGCATCATGTTTGTCTGTCTTAAGGGATGTCATTCCAAGTTTCCGGGTTGATGCGCAGGTGTCTGAAGGAGGTCTTCAAGGTGTTCTTGTAGTCATGCCCTTGTCCGCCGCGCCTGCGGCCACCCATAACGACGTCACTGCAGAATAGCCGCTTACACAGGCGTTAATTGTCGGCCCTCACGACTTGACACCCTTTAGTGTAATATGGAGAATGAAAGGTTAAGAGCGCCTTTCAGGAAGCCTCTTCATGGCTTGCCGAGATGAGACTGATATTCTCCCACAAGCATGATAATCTCGAGGGCAAATTCGCTGGTGTTTGAGGTAAAATGACAGCCTACTTTAACCCTTGTTAAGAAAGAGTAGTGTAGATCTTTATTAACAATGTTGAATACAACATATAATTTTGCCTTTAAAAAATATGCCAAAGTTAAACACATTCTTCACAACGGATTTCGGATGTGACACTTCTGTTTGATAGACACATTCGAAAGCTAGTCACAAACTCTCGGGGAAAAAAGTCGTTTGTGTTCATTAAATTTTTGTTTTTTGGTCACAGAATGAATGTTGAAAGCTGTCGAGCGCTGAAGAATAGAAACAGTCTGTCAAGTGCTTTTTAGATGCATCACTTATTAAATATTGCACCATTTTGTAAAGGAAAAGCTTACCAAAAATGTCCGCTGTCATGCCCACAAAAGCACCGAGGGCTTAAGTAGTCATACAGTCACTTAGCAATCTCTTGAAATGTTAACCGAAATTATGAAATACGTTTTCGATTTAGAAGAATTACTTAAGTGGGACTGTAATAATAAATAATTTTCGACGTGATTAAATTATCTTTCGGATAGGCCAGAGCGATGTCTCTTAGATGCACTCCTTTACGGTCGTCCACGAAAAACATAGTCGGTCAAAAAATGACCGCCCAAATAGCAAGCCTTTTTTCAATTGATTTTCGATGCCCATGTAAATTTAAATATATTCTCTAGAAAATCGCCATAAGAATAGTATTCTCCTTTCTCATTTGGTAATAAATCATGTCTTTTTCGAAATGTATACTCAGAGAAAAATTGCTCTCTCTGAATATTTTGAACTCGATCTGCCGTTGGATTTCCGTTCAGGGTTTTCAGTGAACAAGCTGTGCATTTTCCGTGTAGGTGAAAACGTACATTCTTCTATGCCGTTTTCGAAATAGCGTATGCGGTTCGTAAAATGTCGCAACAGATTCGGACTATGAGAGGCATTATTAGACTAACAAATACTACGCTACTCGAGTGGACATTGCACCGGCTTTAAGAGATCATACTTGGAAACTATTCAAAGTGGAAACATACCCTTTTTCGGATATAAAATTTAAAGCAGACATTATTTACCATCAGATGTTTCTGTGCATGTTTTCGCAAAATGCTTTTAGATTTATAAGGGGATCGAAAATCAATAACGAAAATAAACAGTACTTGAGCGGTCATTTTTCTGAGTGAAAAGAAGTGGATTCCTATACCAAAATCCTGGGATTTCTGAAGTATCACGGGATTATGCCCCAAGATAATCAATATTACGGTCCCACCTAAATAATACTTTCTAATTAAAAACCCACTTCAGAATGTCGGTTACCATTTCATGACCTACGATATTTGAAAATTCCGGCTAACCCAATCACTGTTCTTTGACTTTCTGGCCGCTGTATTAAAACACAGGCGTTATAAGAATATTCGTTCCGATGTTAGTCCTTGAGTTTTGGTAACGTAATTGTATGAATGCGCTCACGCATTAAAATAATTTCACTTTCTTAGCGTATATTGGACGCGTTCAAATGCATTCAGTCAAAATTAAATCGGAGCAGGATCCGCTGTCACCTGAAAAGATCTCAGTTTGACAGTGCGATATATTGTTACTTATGGCGTCAAAGTTTCAAATGTGCATCATTCTTTTTACTTCATTCAGAGGCATCGTTTGATGGCAAACGCGCAATATTAGACGGGTTTTCAGTCCCGATAAAGCGGCTTTTAAAATGCCTAACACCTGAAACGGAACGGGTACGTTTCACGTTTGTGTTAAATGTGTCATCTCTGACCAGAAATCACACAAACCATTGCATTTTCCATGCTTGGCATTTGACGATTTTGTAAGAAAATTCCTTTTCAACTCCTTATGCGGATGATTTTTTGGCACGTCTGGTTTAATTGTGTGCATAATTAAAAAAAATGACAGCCGCCTAAATCAACGTTATGAAGCTTACCGTCTGTATTAGTTGCAATAATGTAGGTTTAGAACAGACATTTACTGGAGCCACCAACAACCTGTTCTGTTATTTGAGTAAATGTCTTCTAGCGAAATTGTGTGGGAGAGATTAAATAAAAACTGGAAAAGGATTCCGTTACTACTTTTATTGGAGAATGCTTGTGCTAATGATTGTCATTTCCTTATTATGTGTAGGGACATAACCTAAAGAAGCTCAAATAAGAAGCCTTTGTCATTGTATAACACGATTTAGCTCGATGTTCTCAGTCCTATTTGTGATTTGCTAAATTAGAACAAATGATATACTTGTGGTAAGGAAAGAATGTACAATACAAAGGGGGCTTCTTAGGGTCATCCGAATACTTATAGTCTTTAGTTAATATAAGCGATTTACTCAGTAACTTAGCGTTGAAGCAAAAGTGGAATGAGGTCCTGCTCACCAGAGCATGTGCACAATAATGCGAAATGGCCGTATTTTTGCATCCGGATAAAGCAAATTACTACCTTTATGCTAAGCTTTATGAGACTTCAGATGCGGCCTTGCAAAATATTTGCTTTCTCTTTTATTGGTGATAAACGTCTTGCCGTAAAAATTTTAAGTATTGCGAACGGGCGCACCTCTAGGCTAATTATACATACACCTGCAATCCCTGGGCGATACGAATAAATAAACCTTCCGTCTATATTTCAAAATTTTCATTCATCATCTCTATCATACTCTTTCAGTAAACATATCCCACAAAATATATGAGGCAGCTCGACAAATGATATACATAGATCTTTCTACCAAACTGTGCCATCAAAAATTCATATCCACTTTTATACCCGCTTAGATATTTGCCAATCTGCACGACTCCTTGGAGCATTTACGGTTGGCTAAGACAGTCCTAGCAATTGAAATGCTTGCACGTGCTTTTGTGAAGGGCAGTAACTCGAGCGACATCGGTGACAGCGGTCTTCCTGGAGTTCATGTTTCTGACAATGAGGCCTTCTTCATGTTCTTCTTGCAAGTAGGTTGGATTGTGATGTCATAGAAGAGCATGCAGTTAAGGTGTAATCCTTCAGTCCCCCCCCCAAATCTTTTGTAACAGGTTTTCATTTTTCTATTCTCAAAAACACGAATATATCAAACTTTTCTGGGTCAACAAATAAACAAACTTTGTATTAACATTTTAGGGCATTTCTCTTAACTGAAACAGCGTAGCCAGTACAAGTGCCCCGCCTGTCACTTATATCTATCAATATACACAACCGCTAGTAGACGACAAAACCAGCTGATGAGTTTAAAACACGTTTGGACGATCCGGAATAATATTTGCAAGTGAGAGAAAGGGACAACCTGCACCATTTCTGCTTCTGCTAGCCGAAAAATGATGATGATGATGATGATGATGATGATGATGATGATGATGATGATGATGATGATGATGATGATGATGATGATGATGATGATGATGATGATGATGATGATGATGATGATGATGATGATGATGATGATGATGATGATGATGATGATGATGATGATGATAAAGATGAGGAAACAAAACGATATACATATATATAGGGTATTATACCGTACTCCCGACCTAGATACTTGCTAAAAGCCCAGACACGTGTTTCGCCGATATTCTGCCGCTGCGTGACACAGCTGCGAGGGGTTCGGCTCTTCAGTGGGACCCTCAGCGTTCTTTAGCGGTTTCCGGTATATGAACTCCAGAGAATAATCAGGTGAATAATTTCAGAAATTAATCAGTGCAGAACTTGGAGTTAAATCTCCGGCACATGACTTTTTAGGGTCAAAACCGAAATTTCAATGAACATTTGCGTCGGGATTACGGTATAATACCTTTACCATATGAAATTCATACTAATCGTAGTACTACTTGTTTGCAGAATGGGCATTACGTGGTTATTCCACAGTAGTTGATTGTCGTCAGAATTACGCCACTGCTATATAGTACTGAGAAATGTTTTATCATGGCATAAACTGTGTTTAGGGCGAGTACTTTCAAGTAAATAAATATATTTTTGCTGTAATCCCTATTGCCGGATATAACTGTAGTGTTGACCAGCATTTCCCTTCTTTTATTTGCTTCATTTTCCTTTATATTTCTCACCTGCTGAAACAGTGGGAATGTCGAGAGGTCCCACTGGCCATTGAAATGCGTTAATCCACATTGGTTTTGGTTTGGACAGATTTCACGGAGCGTTTAAGCCCTGTCCAAGTGGATGCAATTTCGTTTTTACTGCCTAGCTAACAGTATCAGGGGAATTTCGTCCAGTGCCAATGTCATGATGATAAAGTTTTATAGGTTAATTTAAAGGAAACCAGCATGATATAAAAACTCACCCTTTCAGTATGTTCCGTAATTCATTTAAAGCGCGCAGTTTGGGTGCGCAGCCGTTTGAGATCTATGTTCTGTATAACTGTTGATTATTTGCTTGTCTTTTACTACTATTTAGATCTGCTTTAATTAAGTAGATTTCTTAAACCTACCAGCTAAGCTTCTGTTGGAATTTCCTCTCAGTGGACCATTAAAACTGCCATAAAGTGAATAGGAAATGCCCGTTGCATACACGAAATTAAACGTTGAAACGATACTATCTAAGACATCAAATTGAGGAAAGAATCAATCGATGCAAACCAGGCCAGCTAATTGTGTCAGCACGTTTACAACATTTGATTGTTGCAACCTATTTTGCGAGCGCTATTGTTATTATCAGTGACTTGCTTGATACTAATTCGCATTTCGGTCTACAAATAAAGCCTATGCATTAACTTCCTTAAAGGTAAAACAGGTGCTTATCTGCGTTCATGTAAGAATCTGACACAAGTATATTCTTATATCTTTTTGTCACAAAACTATCAAAAATGGAAAAGTGCGCAATCTCTTTCTTATTTATATACCTCGACTATTCAATCAAACACCGTGCCTGCTTTCAGTTGAAGCTCTCTACGTAATCCGAATTGTGGATTTTATTCAAACTTAGGAAGGCCTATAAATCAGACAAGAACTCTATTTATAAATAGTTCCCTAGGGGAAACTGTCTTTTGCGGGCAAGCCATTTGGACTTTGCATATATTATCTTTCTTAGATAGACAAACAAACAAATAAAACAAAAGCCTTTGCAAACATATTAAATGCAGCTGTCAAACATTTATTCGGCATCTTTTAATAAAAACCTGCTCGCTTTGGTGCTTGTTCTACGGTAGGTCCAATGTAAATACTATTGCAATCGGAATGTGGTAACACATGAGGAGGGTTAGTCCTTCAAGCTCATTCAAATGGATTCTTGAAACTTCGATTTTTTCTGTATATATTCTTGGATACACCAAGTGTGAACTTTATCACGCTGTTTCTTCTTTATAGGTCGTTCTCTTTTCTTTTAATCCTTGGAACTATTCTACAGCGTGGAAAGGTTTTAGAGAGAAATTTGGCAATTTATTGTTTGATTTTAATGGATTACTATGTACCAGGTGACAAATACTGGCCAATTAGTAACTTTACACTGCACAGTCATTTTGATAGGGAATTATGTGTCCTGTGTGATAAAAACTAATGGGCTGCCAGTTCTTTCACATTTGATTCGTGTTTAATTAAAAAAACGAGATGTCTGGCTTGTTTGTGCTTACTACATTTAAAAAGATGTCAGTCGTCGGATCTCCAATAGAGCAAAACCCACACTTACGCACCATTACCTTATTTTTGGTATTCTATGTTTGTTATGGATAAATATCCACTCAGGTTTCTACACGTAGGTGTTTGATATGAAAGGCAAGACGGGTGGGCTAAGTGCCAATGTACCTTTCAGCGGTTTAGTGAAAAAGGACCATAGCTTGAAAGTTCTGTCAAGTTTTTTAATCAAAAGCTTTGCACCGGTTCTGGTCATTTAGGACTAGTTAAAAAATTCGTTCAACAGCTACGTTCTTAAAAATGAAGATAAGATCAAAAATGCACTTGGTTTCCCTTTCAAAATATTCACCCACCATTATCCTTTCAAAATTGTAGTGAATTTTTTGACTGCAAAAAACTTGTTTCCAGTTGAAACGCTTAATGTTTGCGAATGAACTCGGCCATGGACATGCTGGGGAACCTGTGAAATAGGTAATAGATCTCAGAGTCCATATGAGCGGCAGTAAGACCTAGGCCATGCACTTGTAATTCAGTATTCAGGTTCTGAAGCGACAGGAAGCAGGCGAAAATCAGTCGAAAAATACCAAGTTGAAAGCTATGCACGCTCTTCTTAGAAGTGGCAGATACATTCTGCACAAAACGATTCTATGCATCTTAACTGCATCTAAAATCCTGACGTAAGCATCATCATCTACGGAGTTCGTCCCTTTATGTCATTTTATGGAGATCTTGGAATACTGATCTAAAATGACTGCTCAAGAAAAGGAAAGTTAGAAAAATAATACTGTAAAATGAATCTCTTGTTGTCCTGTGTCAGTATGACATCAAGATGCCTGAAAAGATCGTTCGAGAATGCCTTTAAAAGCGGAATTCTGATGGTTCTATTCAAAATAAAAATCTGCTTCATAACATGGTAATCATTTTAGCCTTTATTTGTTCCTATTGCATTTGACAGCAATTTCAATCATGCGGAAAGCTAATGACATAATAAGAAGAACTTGTAAGATGCGGTTATGCAGCCCCACCTGATGGACACAACACTGTTTGGGTTGGGGTTAGGGTTTGTGGTTGAGGACTAGAGTTAGGGGTTAGGGTTAGAGAATAGGGGTGGGATTAGGAGTTAGGACAACTGTTTCCCAACCACTCAAGGTACAACCGCCCATTCCTAATAGCTTTTCTTTTGCATGCACCTACTTGACCTCGTAGCCTGTGCGTTGCCCAGCCCCAACTGTAAAAAGCCCCATTACCACCGGTCCCGTATTACAGGTAGCTGGGGTTTGTTTACTTCAGCTGGGGCCACCTAACCATATCTGACCGGAGAACTTGTTAATATTTGTGATCCATTCACGATGTCTAAATGCAAATTTGACCTACCTTCCATTCCTAAAATGTTTGCTGTGGTTCGTCCCTCTGCCCACACAGCAGACACATATGCATATGTAAATATACGTTACAGACACAATGCACGAGTCCACAGTCCCTCGAGAGAATAGGCGACGCAACTCTCTTGACCCCGAAATGTCAACGAGCGCTCAAGGCTGCCACCTTATCGCCGACGTTCATGGGCCTGGTAGGCTGCAAGTCCCAACAGTTATTTACGGCCGGTGTTTCGCCGGACCAAATTTCCCCTGTTGCAGCCGCAAAATGTTTCTCCGACAGGTGAACTGGACCAGTATTCGTCACTTCTGATGAAGGTGCCTTTGACCGCGGTCCGCAATGTCAGACGACAAGATGCACAACTTTTCGTTATGATTCATCATCCTACCACCTTCCATAAACATGCTGGCCTCCACGCAAAAAGCATTTGCTATGCATGAATTGTGCCTCTTTTCACCAAAGCCAACCACAGTGGTTTCAACCGTCTGCCTACATTGATAATCTAGTTGAACTGAGTGAAAATATGTACTCTGAGAAGAGGATATGCATGAGCCCATTCAAACGTGTTGATATTTGGCTTCTACGTGTCGATCGCATGTATAACTGCCTAAAAAAATTTGTTATCTTAGAAAGACAACTGTATAGGTTGTTCTTTCTTTTATTATCAACCGTTGTTGCTCTCTCCTGTTCCTTCTGCTCCTGAATAGACCACCACCTTTCCGCTGTAATATGCACCGAAATTCAGAACCAGTTTGCGGTCGTCAAGGAATAAACCCGATATATGCGTTAATTGACGCATCTCTACCTGGCTTATCCTGACTGAAAATTTCTGACTTCTGCGTTTTGACTGACTAGAGATTTCCATACTAAGTCATCTGTCAATTGGACATTCTGTGTCTATTTATATATAAAAGTGATGACATAATTTTGAACTTCATTTTGCCAATGGACTGCAAGGTCGACTGAACAAATGAAAATGCAAAATTCATATGCAACCTAAAGAGGGTTTTTAGCAAAAACCGCCAACCAAAACCAGTCAGAAAACAAATGTACCGGGACGCCCTCCTCTGACACCTGAACGTCCTTCCGTCTCGTGGTCTGGCATCATCAATAATTACTTCTTTCGACTGCCATATTTGCTCGCTTACCAACCCGAGGACAGATCGCAAATCGAGAGCCGTCCGCTACTGCAGTCTTATCCAATATCCATATGCTTTGCATCGATCAAAATGCCAATTCCTCTTACGAAAACCACTAGAAAATCTTATGCGTAGTGTGCAGAATTTAACACGTTGCTAGCAGCCGTCATGAAATGTTGACCGAAATTCTAAAATGCGTTTTCGACTAGGAAGGATTACTTAGGTACGGTAACAACATTGATTATCATGCGGTATAATCCTATAATTTTTCGGACTCACTAGAATGTCTGTCTTGGAATTCAGTTCTTTCTGACCTCCTGTAGAAATTGCACTCGGTGGGAAATTACTACTTAATTGGCATGCATTTTTCACATTGATTTTTGATGGTCTCATAAATTCAAATATGTTTCATA